TGTGACCGTGGTCTCAAATGAGATCGAAGCAAAAATCAAACTGGAATTAGTAAAGTGAAGAGGAGAGAAGAGGAGGAGAGCAAAAGCAGAACGATGGCAGGCGGCAAAACGATATGATATTGTGACTGAGAAGAATGTGAAATATACACATGTAATGCTGTGGCGAGGTGATTCTTATTTTGGACAAAGCTAAAATGATGACTCCGACTGTCCATCGAGTGTTGAAGTTAAACAGATAAACCAGCCAAACCAGCACGATTCGACCGCGAGCGGCCGCTGTTACTGCTGTTGATGATGTATTTTATAAATACACACATATATATATCGTATATTTTTGGTATCTGTAATTCCGCTTCGCTCTCTTCGCTTCAATTCATAGCCCAACCATCGTTTCAGTTCAATGTGATTGTTGCTGTTTCATTTTTCTACTTTATTCGTCGCTTCGAATCGGTTTGTCGTCGAATGCTGTGTGTACCTTTGTTGTTGTCTTTTCCCATTTATTCGTTATACCTTTGTTAAGCGACGTCGTCGTCGTCATCATCATCGTCGTCGTCGTCGTCGTCGTCATCATCATCGTCGTCGTCGTCGTCGTAGCCGTCTTGCACTGTTATTCACGGCAGCACACACACACACACAGAACGCTCTTTGTCTCTCACTCTCTCCTCTCCGTGTGTCTTCTCTTTCTTTGTACATATCCATAGAACAGCAAACAAACCATATCACTTTGGGTTCTTTATGAAACGAACGTCATACAAAACGATCGTACAAGGGTATTTGGTGTGTTCGCTGCTTCCTCTCGATGCAGTGCCTCCATATCACTTGAATACATTGTGTGCAGAGGCTTCTTTGTATCGAGACGATGGCTTTACTTATCGTGGGATGACTAGAGTTGTCCTTTTCAGCTTCGCCCAAGGTATTTGGTATTTGGGAATCGATGCCAAAGGACTGTTAAACCAACGTTTAATTACCATTATCTATACAGCTTTTGTAGTCTTTTTTTCTTAAGGAACTACAAGCAAAATTAATTTACACGTATTTTGCAAATATTTTTTTTCAATCGGCCAATGCCAAAATTTCGACCCAAAATTTTCCATAATACGAAATTAAAAAAGATGTCCCATTTAAAAATGAATCGAAGTAAACCACAAAAAACATTAATGGTTATTAGAAGAATTGTCGTCAATTAATCGCCTCTACTCATTGGGTGTTTCCATCAGTCAGGTTTTTGACGAGAAAAAAAAACTGGTACCATGGTCGGACTTCGGTCGATTTATATTTAGAAATGCATATTGAAGACCCCATTGCATTCGGCCACTTTCTGGAGTGCATCAATCACCTCCTCACAACGACTGAGACGGCTCCCTTAACAAACAAGTCCCTGGTATTATATTTTTCACTCTCCTCTCTGTTTCTTCCATCGAATCGGTTGTTGGTGCGTGTTTTTTTCCTCCTTTTGTGGCTGTGCATACTATTCAATATCGTACTTTACCATCGAGACGAACGTATATCGTGTGTTGTTTGTGCATTACGCTTTTATATAGTTTCCGAAACGAAAAACGTTTTATAACATAGAAATATCAACTGGCATAGAAGCGCAAGAGGGACTATATGTGTGCTCATACTGTACCATAGTACGGTGTGTGTGTACATTTCGTCGAAATAAAAGACGAACGACGAAATGTATGTGCGCAGCTCACCACACACTCCATACCGTGGCACGGCACAAATGAATATATACTCATGCTCGCTCGTTCGTTCGTTTGTTCGTCCGCTTTTTTGCCTCTCCCTTTCCCTGTCTCTGTCTCTGTCTCTGTCTCTCTTTCTCTTTCTCTTTCCATCTCTGAAATACGAAAATAGCGCGCTTCGAACTCGCAACGTTGGCAACTAACGCTTTGGAGAATGAAAACAATCCGAAGAGAAACACCAACGAAAAATAACACACCAACAAATCCAATTGGAATGAGGATCAGCAACAAGATACAAAAACACATATATTGAATATATCTTTAGTGTCAACGCTTTTTGTGGCATTTTCTTTTTGGATGACCCATCACTTGAACAGAATATTTCGAAAATTAGAACTTGGTTGTCGATTTTAACGGTGTAATTCATCGCGCTGAATTTGTCAGGCATAGAACGACCATAACTTAAAGATTTTTTTCTTTTTTGCCCATTTGGCCGTTGATCCGAGGACGAGAGAAAGAACGAATGCATGGATGAACAAACGAAGAACGATGTATAAAATGTCCAGCATAAAATGTTTTATCAGAGCCAAGTGGCTGTTATATCAGACCTGACGTTGATTCACCATGTTCCCAATCGAAAGCTACATCGCCCGCCGTTCGAGCTCCGAAATCCGAAGTCGACGTCAAACAACAGCAATACATTGGCTCGTACACACACACAAACTGGCATTCTTGGTTCAGTTTGGCAAATTACATATTTAGCGTTATGAAATCGGGCATTTTGCGAGCTACTTTTTCTGCCAAGTACCAATTGTGCCAAATTTGAAATTCATAACGCTCCTGTCTATTGCCCGAACGGGACTCTCTTCAACATGTGAACAATTTTCCGAAGTTTCTTCGTCCATTAACAGATCGAACCGCATTGTCATATTCAATTCAGTTCGATGCAGCGACTAAATTCAACTTCAATGTGAAAAAAAATGGAATTCTAGAAATCTGACAGTGTCTACGACTCTCTTACCCTCTTTTGTTGGAAGAGTTTTTTTTGTCCATGCTTAGCTAATGTTTTTGGAGAAATAATCACGGTTACATCCAATTGTTTCAAACTAAGCCACATAAAACAGACTCTGGTTTCTTTAATTCAGTATTGTGATACACCCACAGATAAAAGCGTATCCATCTCTCGCCTCTCTATTTCGACCGACTACAGTGTCGAATAATAACAAAGAGCGGCAAGGAGAGTTTTCATTATTTCAATATTCGGTGTTCGGCATTGTTGTTGCCGTTGCTATCGTGTACAAGCGGATAAAATGTGCGTACCACACAAATGAAATGTATGTTTTGCGTTCGTATTGAACGCATAGCACAAAATACAAAACGTTGTTCGACTTTCAAATATAAATTTTCATGTCAATGAAGACAGCGAGTTAGCAGAGAGGCAAAGCAATGTGAAACAAACCAAACCAAAATGAACGAACGAGCGAGCAAGCGAGCGAGCGAGCGAATGAATCGACAAGCACGAAAATCCCGTACACAAAATTCGTAGCATAAAGCTTACGAACGCATATTGCCACTCTATATTAATGCTGAATCTCTCTCTTTCTTGCTTTCCATACACATAGCCTCTACGGAGTATACTCAGTATCGAAGCTCGAGCTACAGCAGTGAGTCAAACGAGAGCGAACACAAAATTGAGAATAAGCCACAAACACATCATTTGCACGGACTGAAAATTTGTATCGTATTTGGTTCGCATCGAAATTCGATCATGGCAGGGTGCTTCTCATTGTTTCTCTGACAGCGCTTACATCCGTTTCACTGAAGTGTTTCCGATGATTTTCGTCCGCTTCAACAGCGGGAAACGGGTTTCTTCCACCGAATTTCTGCAAAGAAACACCCTATCGGGCAATTTGTTGTTTATGGTGCACGATCATTGGCATTTACCATCGTTCAGCTGTGCATTACCATCAAGCTTAGAAATGAGAATATGTTTCAGTGATACGCAGCATCTGAGACGGTTGCGAAGAGAATCCTTTGATTTTTTCTATAGTCGCTATCGTCAGGTTTCTGCCCTTAACATTCGAAATAATTAGTAATGTAAAAGGAGATTAAAATGGAACGCACGGTGATGAGCCAACGATTCGTTTCACATATTTCTCGAAACATCGATTTTCGTTGTGAAATGATTGTCGGGTCTCTATCAAGCATCTGCATATAAATATTTTTTTGAATCTATTATTTTTAACTCTCGAACGAACTGGATTTTCGATGTTCAATTAAATGTTGTGTATTTTTTCCTTCGTCTTTCTGTCATTGGATTCGAAGCCGAAAATGTTTGGTGTTCGATATAAATTCGGAAATTGGTGCCGACAAAACCGACTGAACTACAAGTATATTTGGATCGTTTGATATTCGGTTGATATGAGAATGAGAGACGCACATACAACGTCGAATCCAAACGAAAAATGTCTAAAATTGTGCTTGAACACAACCGAATGCTTTTGTCACTTCTGTTTCGTGTACACTCGCAATATATGCTGAGCCGAGAGCGAGAGAGAGAGGCACAGAGATAGAGTAAAAACAACCATATTTTGATCGTCTATATCGTGTCAGTTCACCTCATTTGTGAACAGCGAGTATACGTAAGCAGCACAAAGCGCGCAATATTTATATATGTACATGTTTTACGTATTTCAATGGGCATGAGCGAAATGGTTTTTTCTTCTTTTCAGACGAAAAAAGTATAAAATGAAAAAATAATGAGACAAAATAATGAAATCGGGCTGTTCGGTGTTGAATCTCCACTCAATCGAAATCATCCTTGAACGAAGTGAGTCAGCCAGCGCCACACTTCACATTTAATCAACAATCAGCTGTAGACAATTTTGATCAAACATATTCTAGTCAGCAAAAATAATCGATTGAATTCTTTCGATTGATTAGACTATTCTAAGCAACAAGGAAATCAAACCAAACTCTCAATGAAAGTTTTCTTTGCTAGAAATTGGCAAATGCCTGATTCATTTTTTTCGATAAAAGTTTAAACGATTTGACAATGTAACGTCTCTCATCAATAAACTGTTAGTATTGGCTAAGAAACTTTTTGTATCAAAAATAATTTTCATGTTGATTCAATTATGCATTCGATTTCAGCGGACAGCGCCCTCTCTGATTGCTCCGTCGATTCATATCGCCTCAGCTCAAAGTTGAAAAGTTGACCAAGCTATGTTTTTTTCTTTTTTTCTATCATCAGCAAGTGTGTGTGTGTGTGTGTGTGTGTGTGTGTGTGTGTGTGTCGTGAACTTGACGCAATTTAATAAAAACCAATGAATGGTAACGGGAGTAAATTTTCTTTGGAAATCGCGTACAATGTCAAATATTGAGAAATCGTCGAAAATTCACACTCTAACTAATCTAATCTACCGAAATGAAACCGACTAAACGTCTAAGTACTGATAACAAAGTGTATATATGTGCCATTGCGATGACTGAGTGTGCGAATAAAGCACACTGTACATTTCGTTTGAATGATTTCATCGCAACTGATTTCTGTAAAGGCCAAGATTTTCAGTCGACACACATGCATAATGTGCACATTATGTCGTATTGGTTAGCGTTTCACTTGTGTTGAGGAATAAGCTGTCAATCGTTTTGAGCTGATTTTACGAAATCACGCTTGAAGACTCAAACATCGATGAGAAATCCAATTTTTTTTTTTTTTGCACCACTGATAAAAAGAAATTATTACTTTTTTGCACTGAAACGAAATGGATTGAACGAGAAATGTAGACGACAGTGTTTGATGTGAAAAATATATCCAATTTTTGAACTAAAACGAGTGAAAAAGTTATTCAGTGATAAAAATCTATCATTTTAATCTAAATGAAAAAAAAACTAAACATTTTACTCACTGAACCATCGTTGCTCCTTTTGTATCAAGTGTGAAGTTTTACTTTTGAGCGATAATGACAATGTCCCGACACGAATTCAAAAATCGCGCTGTAACAAAACTGGGCAAAAGTGTCTAAGCCTGAAATTTTGCTGTGCCATCAGATGGCGTTCGTGTAATCCATTGCACGAATGACAGATGAATGTTCATTCGTACACAAAACTGGGCTTGTTAGTTTGTCAATATTGCCTTCGTCGCTCAGGTTTAGCATCAGTCTTCATAAATTTACAATTTAGAAACAGAAAAAAAATCTCAATATTGTCAAAAATGTCGTCTCACATGAGCACCAAGGATAGACTTTTATCGATAATCGATGACTTTGAAATCATAGCAAAGTGAGTTGTGCCCAGCACAAATGGATTTTTCTTGTCTCTGGTGACATTAAAAACAAAACCTTTTTTTTTTGGTTTACAGAGAATTGATTGAGAATTCAAATGCGCCGAAACATCAGAAAATTTCTCAAAATGATCACAGTCAACTCGTTGAGCTGCTCATATCAAAAGATGACGAATTCAAGGATGTTTTGAAATTAGCCGAGGAACAGGCACAGATCGAGCAAAAGATGACAGCATTAAAAGCTAAAGTGCATTTGCGTGACCAACAAATTAAACGACTTCAACGACGTTTGAAAGATTCAGAGGAGATTCTATCGCGGGCTCTGTTTCAAGCACGTCAAAAGCTGGCGAGCATAAATGTGGCAAACAAGAAATCGGTCTCATCTGAAGAACTCATCAAATATGCATACCGGTTAGAACCTCACTTTTTTTTAATGTTGATTTAATTGCATGAACTAAACGAAATCTATCCACAGAATCAGTGCATCGAATGCTATCAGCGCGCCATTGACCTGGCAACAGGGTGATTTGAGACGACCATATCCAACTGATATCGAAATGCGATTAGGGTTTTTGGGCAAATCGGATCTATCGAATGTAAATGGTCACAGTTCACAGAGCCAGAGTGCAACGACCAGTGATTTTCCAAAACCATCGGTTGGAGGTAAGTTTGAATCGATTCAATTGAATCCAAAGTGATGCCTAATGACTCAATGCTAATGGTTTTCATTGTTCAACAGATATTCCAATAGCATCTCAAAATCAATTTGCTTGGATGCAGTCCGGTGAATTACAAATGACTATGGGCAAAAGTTCGAATGCTACTAGTGTTCCACTTGATACTCGGTATGTTTCGATAAGTTTCGAATATATTTTCTATAAATTTGCACATTTTGAAGTCTCTATAGACCTCATAACAAGTATTATCCAATGTTTTGACAAGAAATTTCTCAATTTTCGTGTAGAAACCACAAAGATGCCAACCAGGATGAGGTTGAGGTTATGTCGACTGATAGTTCCAGTTCGAGCTCAAGCGATTCTCAATAGAATTACTCATATTCTCCATTAAAATACATAGGGACATTATCATTTTATTCTTTCTTTCCTATTTTATCAAATTCGGTACATTTGTAAATCATCGCATATAATCAGATTAGCATATTCAAATTATTATGATATTTACCATCTAATCTATACCACTATGACTTGAAAATAATAAACAACAAGTATAATTAAACATAAGCAGCTCCTTTTTTGACAACATTTATGACTTTACTACATTTTTATAGTCTTTTCTCATCCATTTATCGACTCAAATACTGTCAAATATATAGGCTTTTATCGCAGTACGATTTTTCCACAGAAACAATAGAAATAGAGATTAACAATACCAAAAATGTGTTTAAAGTAGGTATGTATTTATGAGTTCTGTGCTCGTGAGAAAGTTCAAGAAATTGTTTTTTTTTTTAAAGAAAAACATGTCCAGATTTTTGAGTTTTTAAAGCTTTTTCCCAAAAGTGTGCAGTTTCACATATTTTGTGCTCGATTGGTGTTAAATATCAAAATTCAGACATACTCTTTTGTGAGATTTTTGAAAATATTGGATGCTACAATACAACAAATTACTTAAATAAGTAGCCAATGGCTACTAGCCATGGACTGCAAACTAAAATCATTTTTTGTGATCGATGATTTTAATGTGATTCACTGATTATTATGAAAAATCCAGACACAGGTGTCCCTTCATCAATACACTCCTTAATCCCTTCAGTCAAGAGTCAAGGTTCTAAACATCATATAATATTTAAAGTTCGCTTGGATCAACTGGAAATGCATACAAAATGATGCGTTAACCCTCAACTGCATGAATTTTTCCTAGGACTGGGAGTACTGGTATTTGGTTGATTTTTGGCCATAGATAACGAAAAAAATATTCATAATCCTAGATTTCCCATGGTTTAGTCAGGAAATGCGATAGAAATAAGTCAGAGAACAATAAAATCCATTGTTTAAAAGTGTCAAAAATATGTCTAATTTGGAAACCGAATAATTTATTTTGTCAAATTTTCGTTTTCGTGCACATTTTTGTTTATAACTCACCAATCGTACGACATAGACAAATGACGCCAAAGACAAAAATAAAGAAAAAACATTGACAAATAAAAATTCCCCTTGAAGCAATGTCATCCGCCGTACGATTCACATTATACAGGTGTTTAAATGATGCCCGCCAAAAGGCGGGCTTATGCAGTTGAGGGTTAACATCAATTACGAATTGAATATGAGAAATATGATTATATAAAAATTCTTTGAAAAGAAAGAAAAAATTGACATTTACTCGAAGCGATGCGTTTTGTATTTTTCATTGGAGTATTTGCTTGTAGTATTCGGATGACCGACTTAAGCAAATAAAGCATTTGAATCGTTGTCGATTCAAAAATTATAGAGTCAACAAGTAGCTCTCTCGTTGAGAATTTGAGTAAATTATAAAAAAATTCTTACTGTGCAAAAAGTGTCCATATTCAATGTGATTATCCCATATCCATGGTAGCTCATTGGAATTTGAGCGTTGCCAATCATTATGATGAAATATTTTTGCAACTCCAATGGCAGTTCATGCCAATCGAAAACGTACAAAGAATCAGCCATTTTTCCATAACTGTCAGATGCCGATTTGCCCAAGAAACAGCACAAAAATAAGTCTGATAGAAGAACACTTCCAGCAAATAAAAAAAAAACGAATAAATTGATGTCAAAGTCCTTGGAGATTTGCTAAAATAATCCAGATCATATAAATGATGATTATTTCTTTATGCAGATAGTTTGAGCAACGATACGGAGATGTAAGTCTTTTTATTTATAATTGCAATCCGATGAGTGAAAAAGACAAAAAAAATTTGATTACACTACCTGATCTAATTGAAATATAGTTGTAGCCAATGCGATTACGTTGCAGATGAGATGAACCGTAAAATGAAGGCTGTAAATTTCTGCCGTATGCGAAAACCAACTTGATATCATGGATTAGAATGGAGAAAAAGTTTAAAAAAAAATCATTATATTTTGCCCACCTTTTGGTCGAGTTATGAAAATCGATTATATCGCACAACAGTTTCTTTTTCTTTCGATTTTCAACGGGATGGCCTAATTGGTGAACCGAATACCGAAACACTTTATGAAATGCCTGATGATGCAAACATATGGAAACGAATGACAGAAGAACAGCACCATCATAAAGGAGATAAGCTCCGACAACAAAAATACTGTAGATTATCTCGCCACAATATCCAAGCAATGTTGATTGATCCCAAGGAAAACTTGAATATTCAAAAGATTCAAAATTTTATTCAAATAGGTAAAAAAAAATCCCGAAACTAACACAAATCTAAGTGGATGAAAAGCAGCATCGAAATGTCCATTCCACTGAGACCTCATCAAAACTGATGCAAACGACAATATCATAGTACCCAAAAAACCACTCATGACAAATTTGAAATACATTTGCCAAACAAATTCAGACTTGTTGTTCGCTTGTGCCAAAAATCGAAACGATTCCCCATCTTGATCTAAATTTAAATAAAACAACATTAAAACCCACGTCAATTTGCATATTACATACTTATCTTTTGTAGTATACATAAGTATAATTATTCCATATTTAAAGAAAATTGTTCAAATTGAAAATAATTATAATGAAATCGGTTCATACACTTTGCGTAGAAATCCGTTAATTTTTCAAAAACCGACGCAATCTTATGACGAAGGAAAAAAGCCAAAACAATCGTATTTGCCATTGGAATAGCAACAAACACTTGTAACGACCCAATCAATGTTTCTTGGAAATCGACCGACAAACTTTTTAGAACGTACATCAAACTCAATAAGAATTCAGTTACATCAGCTACAATGAGAGCCAAAACTAATGCAATGTACGCCCGTTTTTTCCATTTGCTAGTATTTTCTTCGGCGGGCAATACACAAAGCCACGTCAGTAATAATTGATTGGTAGCCAATGGCTTCATATTAAATAAAATTTATTATGGATAAACTTTTCAAATCGACTTTTGATTAAAAAAAAAAACAAACAAAAATCTTCAAATTTTGAGCTATTAACGTTAAGCGAAATCTTCCCAAAGTATTTCTTCGCTTTTTGTGTTTCGAACTATAGATCATAAGCTAATTTTTGCTAAATGGTTGCAACTATAGAAAAAAATTATGAATCTATTTCAAATTTCGAATCTTGCAAATCAAATATAATCAGTTTCTTTAGATATCAGTAACAATAGTGAATCCAATCACGACGACATCCAAATCAAAACTACATGAAAGTTGGAGGTTTCAATTTCTAAGTATCGAAATTTATGGATTACCCGGTTATATTTATCTTATGACATTTTTACTCAAGATAAAAAAATCAACATTGAAAAAACACAGTGTTTTTCGGATATTTAGCCCATTTTCCCGGTAAAACTTCGGACATCAATTTATATTATACACTAGTACGGAAGTGAATCCATGGTAAATGATGTAGCCAAAAAAAGGTTCAGAAGTTTCTCTAATTACTGTTTATATCCATGGGCGTAGCTTAGGACACAAAAACAGCAATTGTCCTAACTGGGGGGATGGACCATAGGGTTAATTCTTCCAATGAAACAATTAAAACAATCTCAAATATTTGACTGCCACTATGTAATTATTCTATATTTATACCAGAAATGAGCCGTTGGAAAAAAAAAACACGTATTAGAAAAGTGCCGAACAAAATGAAAAACAGCGTATTTTCATACGGATGTAATACAACAACAAACTCTATATAGAAAAGGCTGTGTTTTTTTTTTGTTCGGCGACCAATTAAATTTGCTGTTTTTATTCTATGTGGATCTGATCCACTCATCAATCGAATCAACATTCAAATCCTCGCGAATTCTCTCATTCCTAATTCTATTTCTAGACGAATTTGTCGAAAAAAGGGAGTATTTCGTTTAGACGAAATTGTCATATTTTGTAGACGTTTTTGTATTTAACCAAAACATAAATGCTGATGCGCTACTGCATCGAATTTTATCTCTACGGACGATGCATTTTCAAACTAATTTCATGTGCAGATTCGGTACGATGAATTTATTTCGTAACCGATAACAATTTTCGAGTGTTATTTTGATAAATGAAAACGAGGTACCACTTAGATTCTGCGATTAAAATGAGCTCATGCTCCAAACAATAAGTTCTCGATCAAAGTAGAGAAAATAAAAAATGAATAAAGGAAATTTTCGGTTATGAAGCAAAATATTCGTTAGCGGCAGTATGAATCAAGATATACTAAAAAGGTATTAAGTTGAAGATTCATCTGCAATCGATAGCACACCAAGACATATTACATATCCGCGGATTGTACGTTGAGAAACATGAAACCGTATATCTAAAATCAAGGTAATTCCGATCGGAATCTTCCGAACGGATATTTGTTGTGATGATCATTCAATATTTTATTGATTTTTCCGAATTCATTTTCAAATGATTTGTAAATTCCAACCATTTGTATTGCGACAACACTAACATATACATATGAACATGCGCACTATATGTTTTCATGTCATGACAGTATGTCATTGAACAAAGGACACGCAGCACATTTGGTGTTAAACAAAGCTCAGCACTGTTTTTTAAAATCAGATTCAACTGAACTCGATGTAATACTTTTGTAAGTTAAATCCAACCAAAACAATTTGTGCTATTATATCGAAGAAGAAAACTAGATTCAAGGCACGAGGATTTTCACGATGTTTCTTCTAATTTTAGCTCCGATTTCATCTGGTGTGAAACTACACAGCTATGGAAACAATGGGACCACATGAAGAAATGAAGCTTACCCATCTCGATATTGATTGTCTTGAACGGATTTGTCGGTATCTGCCTCTCAAGGATTTGTTGAACTTGGCGGATTCAAGCAAACAATTAAAAAAAGCCGCAGATTTGGTGTTTCTCCTAAAATATAACAGTAATTTCTGTATTAGAATTGGATACAAATCTTATGATGAATACTGTTTTTTGATTGCTTATTATCCAATGCACAATGTTGGAGATATACATTTTCGCGAACATTTCATCAAACCTTTAGACTTAAAAAGAGCATATCAGATGCTACGATGCTTTGGGCATTTAATATCCAAATTGCGAATTGGAATGAAAGAAACTAACAAACATTTTAATCGTTCAATTTTCTACATAAAGAAATACTGCGCCGAATCACTCACTGAATTAGAAATGTCTGAAATACCAGATAGATCCATGATTCGCTTCGTAAAACCGTTTCCAAACGTTCACACTCTTTGTATTCGATCATTTTATTTGACAAATGTTTCAATGGATAAGATATTCCCAAACCTGAAGCGTTTAAAGTGTCATTGCAACAGAACTACTGATTTTGCTAGCATCGGATCACAAGTTCCAAATTTAGAGCACTTGGAATTGGATGTTTCCTATGACCGAGAAAACGAATTACTTCGAACAATTCGGTTAAGTCCGAAGATACAAAGCTTGGCAGTTCCAATCAACGCCATTTATCAAGGCATAAACGAAGTCCTTCCAAATCTCCAGGTTTTAAGGGTGAACAAAATACCTTTTCGCTCTTTTAACTTTGATAACTTTGGGAAATGTCATTTTGCAACTGTAAAACGATTTGAAGTTTTTCACGAAGATGTGTTGGGTTCGATAACATTTCCATTGTTATTCGACAAACTGGAGGAATTTGTTGTGAAATTACGAGCATATCGTTCTTTAAGAGATGAAGAAACATTTTACAATTTCATCAGCGAACATCCATCTATAGTAAAATTGGAAGTTGAAACTTATCATAACGATATGGATTTATTAAAATTAATAGATATGTTGCCATTGGTGGAAGAATTCGATGTAAGCAGCGAATTTTTAATTCCAGATGTTGTTCGGTTTATGAACGAAAAGAAATCACTGAAAAAATTTACTTTTCATTTACGAAATGGTCATAATATTGATATTCCTGATATACTTGTGCAGGCGCACTTCAAAGATAAATGGCATGGTATAAAAATAAAACGTACTTCACTTGTAACAGGAGGACCATGTCCATTTGCGCTGTTCAAATTTACACGGATTTTGTAATAAAATGTGAATCTACTGATAAGAAAGAAAAAGTGACGATGAAATGTTCATTCATGTTTCATTGCAATGTAAGCAATAGCATTAATCTTCAAATAAAATTGTATATTTTGAACAGAATACTAGCTTGAAAGAGTTTCTGTTCACAAATACATAAATTCATTTTCTGTGCGTCCATTTTTCCAGAAAATAAAACACAAAAGCTTGAACCTTTTGATCATTGAAACTGGAACGGCATTCAATCCGATAAAACTATTTAAAAATTCATTTTTGGGGGACATTCAAATTGAAGAGTGATATTTTCGAATTGTTATTGTTCGCCATTTGGGTTTGTATACGCTGAGAGTGTGCAGTGTGCACTTGATCGGGAGACATTTTTTCTTTGATTTCGTAGATATCGCTTATCGGAATGACAGATTCCGGGCTCAAGTGGCATTTTGTGATTGGTTTGAAGAAATAAATTAGAGGAAAATTGAGAGTTAATTCAGTTCATTTCTTAACTAAATGTTGATAATTTTTCTTTTCTATTCTAAAAACAAATCTTCTTTAAATTGAACTTGAACGAAATCTTTGATTTTTCTAAATGTTTCGAAACCATTTTTATTTGATTTGTATATTGCAACCATACGTATTGCGGCAACACTAACACATACATATGAACATGCGCAGATATGTTTTCGAATATCCTTCTGTCATTACAGTATGTTGTTAAACAAAGGACACAGAACTCATTTGATGTTTGTCCATCCAGTGCTATTTTTGTTTAAATTCAAGTCAACTCGACTCAATATTTCTGTAAGTTAAACGCTACCAAAACTATTTGGGATATAATATCGAAATATAATCTAGGTATAGGACACGAGGACTTTCACGATGTTTCATTATTTTTTCCAGAAATACAATTGATTTTTAAGAATGATCCATATAAACAGTCTTTCAATTTACTTATACTTTTTGGGGAGGTTCATTAAGAGACAATAAGCAAGGGAAACAAATCGATAAAATCATTTTCATAGAGTCAATTTATTTTATTATGTTTGTGATACAATTTGGTTTTTTCTTCTTCAAATCACCATAGCTAACACAATATTCAGTTATAATACAATTTAACCCATGTAACTATGACTAAGCAGGATGTTCAAATAAAGATTAGGAAACTGAAGGCGATCGGCTTTAGAACATGCCATCATATTTGCCGATCGGTATAAGTACGATTAGGAATACGATGAGGTTTCTCAGGGCGACTTTCCAGTCATTTGGAACAGCATAGGGTAATAGGACTTGAGTTAGACGATGCACTTCATGCGAAGCACAAACAAAAATGAATGATGATATCAAAATGTTTAGAGTTGGGAAACCAGGCAAAAGTACAAGAACGCCATTTCTATCGGCCGCCAACCAGATGTGATATTGACAAATGAATAATTCCAATGATATGCGACCAAACCAGGCAAAAAACGATGAAAATCGTATGCGAAATATGCCGCTAATGTTCCGTAGAACGATGTAGCTGACGATTGGCACGAATACCACATACGAATGGATTTCTTCGCAGTCCTGTTTATTGCGGCATAGAAACGAGAATGTGGTGTAAAAAGCGATTCCACCCAACGAAAGTATCGCAGCCATAATTGAAGTACGACCGGGTAATAAGTTGTGATTTGTGTTGTCATCGATGATATTGAATTTTTGGGCGATGTGAAAAATGGACGCAAAAACCATGCCATAAGTCACTGTGTAACGATCCAATTTCCATCTATACCACCATTGATGAATATCATCGTCGGTCGTAACAAATAATGCTTTCCATGGACGTGTCACGAACACTCGCTCAAAGAACACTTCGCTCATGTAGAAAATCGTGATCACAATGAGTAAACACACAAATTTCAACACCAAATAACAATATTTGTATGGATTATTTTCCACGCTACTCGAAGTGATGTGCGGTGGAAGCGCCAGAACAAAGTAAATGATCACAAACCAGAATGATATCAATGGCACAAAGTAGTAAAATTGATACGGTCGATTCATGCAGAGACACAGAACAATGGTCATGAAATTCATGCGGAATAAAATTTGAAGGAAACGCGTTAGGCCCGCATTGCCCGTGTGCCACATGTAGCTGAAGTGATTGTAACCGGATAGAAATAAATATGCAGAAATTAATACTTTGATTTGCATGTAAATCGGTGTAATTCTTTCCGCTCCAGTCAAATGATAGATCAATATGACTAATTGCATCCATCCCTTCAATTCGTCCGTTTGATCTCTGTGCAAAACCTTCGTGAATCGACTATCTTCCGTGAAAAACAGCCCCAACACAAATACATAGCCTAACGGTATCCAAAAACTGAATTCCGAGTAATATTTGTTCTCTTTCATAAAGAAATTAGTACGATCACAAAGGTAAAAGTATCCCATGATAATGGCCAGCGTTGAAATGGCAAACAATGGTGTGCTCAAATCGTTGGTGAGAATATTTGCGACGCTACTGCCTCCTTGTCGTCGTAATGGTACATAGAATGTATATCCGCGTAAGTGCAGCCACCATCTTCGGGTCAGCATCGCCATGGTCAGTGATAAGCTGAAATTGAAGAAATTCGAATTCGAATTAAAAAATGTATGGAAAAGAACGAATTCGTTCATCGATTGAAGGCATTTCATCAAATGATTCACATATACTTGATTGAAACGAAGGTCCAATCAACAATACGCAGTAAGTACTACTTACCTCACTCCAAATACAGCATATGTAATAATTTGAAGCACGGTGTACGGTTCGGCACTGCTGCAACACGAACCGTCATTGAAATTCATGTAATCGTTGCAGTACATGTTCAAAATTGTTTGAACATCATGTTGTGCAGCCAATTTACTCAAATGCCATCCATCAATCGCTTCATCCAATAGGCCACTTGCGATATGCTTCGACGATGACCAAATCTGAACGCCGGAATACTTGAGAATCGAATAAACGGCTTCATTGTATTTATCAATGTTATCATTTTGCACATTTTTCCACCCTTCCACAAGCTTATCCTCATCCACCGGATCTTGGAGCTTCCACAAAATTTTCGCTTTTTTCTCCCGATTCAAAGTGTCAATGGGCTGAAGTAGTTTCGATAGATTCATTGAGTAGCTCTTCATGATTTCGGATGTAATATTTCCCTGCAGAAAATGAGCACTCGTCGTGCTCGCTACGATGAATGACGGCGGATCTTCTGTATTTTGCCACCGATTGAATTCGGTTATCATCGGAGTCAGATCCGGTGCATAGATGTAATTTATTCGTAGTTTCAGCTTGTAATCAGTATACTCCAGATTTATGACTGGCTCGTCGTAATGGAATGCTGCCGATTTGTTGTCTTCCGCATTGGCTGCAGAGGAATATGCCTGCAAATGCTTAACAAACGCTTGGTACAAGTTACGAATTCGAACATCGCCGATGAATACAAAGTGATGGTGACTACCCCAAAATACCAAATACCGAAAACAACGCTTCGTGTCGCTAGAAAAATGAAAAAAAAGGTTGCCGATTCACAAGCGGGACTTGGACATTATGTTTAAAATCACTCACGTTTGCGAATATTTATGCATCATACAGCCATACGGTTGCCATTCTCGATTCCCTTTGAATCGTCCATCGGACAGCAGCCATTTGCATGAGTCAGTACCTGTTGAGAATTAATTGGTTCAATTGTAAAACCAGTTCCATTTCTTTTTATTTTCCTCATTTCGATAACATCTTCGTTCAATATCCAAGATCCAATTTTGATGCTTGGAAAATCGATGACTATACTCTGGCCAATTTCAAACTCACCGTATCTCAAATGTATCAATCCGTGATAGAAGATGAAACCCAAAACCAGGCACAGCGCAACTTTCTTGGCATTGTTGGAATTCAATTGCGATATATAATATTCAGCTTTGTTAACATCTTTTTCGGGTCGTTCAGCGCCGCTGCCATCGTCTGTTTCAAGTCTTTCCATGGCCACTGTGAATAAAAATTGCTATAAATCATCTGTGGTGTTATTAAATGACATGTAACCGCATATCTATGCACATTGCACATTCCACATTTGATTGAATGACAAAGTCAAACACTTCTTAACTTATCATCTGATACGGAAGCACATAGATATCCGATTGATTTACATTGCTTAAAAATTTCCGTGCCTACCTCTTTTTTATGTAGAATACCAAAACCTTAACACACTATTTATATCGTAGCACACAAAACAATTGAAGGTTTTATATACGAAAAACGACACTGATTCTAAGTCACATAGCGAACAAAAATATTTTCGTTCAGTGCGTATAAGTACGGGAATCAGTACGTCTCTTTTTGACAGCTTCTCATTGATATTTCATTTGCTGCATAGAACACTAAAATATATGTTACAATTGTTTGTGCAAGTAAAGTCAACAAAAAAAAAACTAAATGTCAAATTGTCAGTTGGAATTTGTTTTGATTTGTGATTGTGATGCATTCGAGCGCGTTACTCGAGCGGCGAGTTCGCCCGGTTTGACAGTTCAATTGCCGGTAAACAGCTGTTTTGTTTTGCATGTGCATGAATAGCTTATTTTTATTTCATAAATGAAACAAAAGTGATTTCTATAGAAATATTGATTCTTTTGGGTTTTAATTGATTAACTGCAATTGTTTCATTAATTAAGGAGGAGGAAAGGAGAGGTAAAATGTCGCCTCTAACCGGAAAGCGAATTTATTTTCGGGCCAAAAATCCGAATCCATTGTTCACGGAATGGCTGGAATATTGGGTGAAACAAGCCGAAGAGAAGGATTCAATGAAAAAGTACGCATTGGCTAAGGCATTGGAATCACTCAAGAAATATCCGTTGGTGTTGTATACAGGGCGTGATTGTGCCATTTTAGAAGGATTCGGTAGTGGTATTTGTTCAATGATTGACAAACAATTGCAAGTGTACAGAGATACAAACCCTGGCCGACTACTCGATGAACAACAAATGGATGTGAAGGAAAAAAGTATTATTCTCGACGTAAAAACCGCTTTTGAAAAGAAACGAGCCAAACGGAATCCAATCAAGGATTTTAAGGAGAAACTCGATGATACTCTTGAAGCACTTCTTAATGACAATGCATTTGACGAAGATATTTATATGATACCTCCTGTGATGACACAACCAATCCCTCAGATGGACTTCATGCCGGAAAAAGTACGTCTTGGAAGTTGTACATTTAAAATTATCCTATTGGTTGACACACAAGAAACGGCTGGGTAAGGAATTTAAAATTAAACCAAAGTATATATTTCAAAATGTGGATTAATTTCATTCTTTTTAAACAAAAGTCGGAATTTTATTTTGAATATAACTTTTCTACAGTAAATCAAAGCGACAGCTTGACACAACGCTAAAGGCGCTGGAGCAAAGAAAAGTGAACTTTGAAGTTCGTCGACTCTCGGTTGGCGATTTCCTGTGGATTTGTCGCGATGAAACGAACAAAGAGCACGAACTTGTTCTGCCTTATATCATTGAACGCAAACGCATGGACGATTTGGCTAGCAGTATCAAAGATGGTCGATTCCATGAGCAAAAGTTTCGTCTATCCGATTGTGGACTGCATAACAGAATCTATATGATCGAGAATCGAGGAAACAATACACATGTCGGTCTTCCACTGACGAATCTGCTGCAAGCCACAACAAACACATTGGTTCAAAATGGATTCATAGTAAAGTTCACCGATTCCAATGAAAATTCCATGTTTTATCTGTCGGTCATGAGTAATTTATTGATCAAAATGTATGCGGTGAGTGCGTCGAAAAGAAAAATTGGATTGAACCATTTGGTACCTTTAGACATTAAATCTCATTCGTATTTGCAGAAAAAAGATTTGGTACATTCAACAAAGACTGAAATTGATCGTTTGCCCGCTAACTACTATAGCGACTTAGACGCAAAATCCGAAGTGGAATTGATAGATTTCAAGGAATTTTCGAAGAGTACGGGAAAAATGCGGAATTTTACCATTCGTGATATGTTCAATCGTCAATTGGTCTCATTGAAATCTCTGTCGATCGACAAAGCATTGGCAATAACCGAAATTTATCCAACACCACGAAGCCTTATTTCAGCCTATGACCGATGTTTTGATGAAAAAGAAGCGATGAATCTTCTAGCTGACATTTCGTGCGGCAAACTGAAGCGACCACTGGGCACAACAATCAGTCAAACTATTTATAAGCTCTTCAATGCATCATCATATGAATAAAAAACCATCGAATGAAATTCATTGTCAATAAATTTGTTTGTGTTTCTGTCGCCGTGCAAACCGAAGAGGTGCGGCGAATTCGCCCACTCTGACGTTTGATGCACGTGAATACCCTTGACAGTTTGTCCCGTCGTTCGACTTATAAAAAATATTCTTATATTTATTTCTCTTCTTTCATAACTCTAACCTAGCGTGCGCGCTATCGGGTGAATTTTTTTCAGAAATTTATCACAAAATTGATTTTAATTGCGGTTCAAATTTCGTGTATATTTTTGTTCGTTTGTGTGCAATGAATGTCATTCACACAGTTAAACAATGTTTTACAATTCGTTCGTTGAAAGTATTTCATAAGCAGGCGTTTAGTCCAAAGTACCTGTTAATCACGAATTGCTGTATATCGGTGACATTGTCGAGTGTGGGTGATTTCCTTGAACAACAATATGAACTGTATAGCAAAGATATTGAAAAATATAGCGTCAAACGAACGTTTCATATGGCATTATCTGGTTTGACGGTCGGTGTTGCATGCCACTATTGGTATCGGTTCATTGACACACGCATTCCCGGTCGGAATTTATCCACCGTATTGCAAAAAGTATTTTGGGATCAAATTATTTGCTCACCAATTGTGATATCTACATTCTTTATAACGCTTGGCCTGTTGGAGCAAACGAGCAAAGATGAGATCATCAAAGAGATAAAGGAGAAGGCATGGCGATTATACGTAAGTTGGATCTAATGGAACATTTTTACATGATTTTCGTCGTGTTTTAATTTTGAATTGGCACCAATTTTTTTGATTGTCGGCCAGAAGTAAATATAAAAGCTATGGTTGCTCTGATATTTTTCTGCAGTTATTCGGTTTCTTCTAATTTTTCTTCCATTTTCTTCTATTTTTCAGCTCGCAGAATGGACAGTTTGGCCACCGGCACAGATAAGTAAGACATTAATTCAAAATATTCACTGTTATGTAATACTAATGGCAAACGCTTTCTTACAGTCAATTTCTACTTCCTTCCAAACAAATATCGCATTTTGTACGACAACACGATTTCGCTGGGCTATGATGTTTACACTTCAAAGGTGAAGCACGGGAAATAATACTATACGATGCATAGTATGCACAAGTTATCAACTGCAACTATTGTTACCAGTGAATTGTGAATGATTTTTTTTTAAACGAATGGACGTGTACGTGTCTGTAAATAATGGATTGCTTATGAATTTAGATAAATAAATTTTCGACTCATTTTTATCGCAACAAAGTCTTATTTATTTAACAAAAGTTTTGGGATGCCATCATGCATTCTTAATAGTATAAATTGACTCGAATTCTTATAGAGTAAGGCATTTTTCTTTTCCGATGTAGAAGAAAAAGACGATAAAGATTGAGTATAATTGTCGCGTATTTGAATTGTATTTATATGGTACAAAACATTGATATGACTTCAGGATGAATGTGTAATTTAAAGTGGGTGATAATTATGATGAAAACATGTGAAAATTTGTTGATTCTATTTGTCGGAATCCGAATCAGTCATTAGATCATCCTCATCGTCTGTGTTGATGTCATCATCTCGTTCGATCTGTGTCGTTTCATATTCCAAGATTTCATCGTCCTCTAAATGGGATCCACCCTCGATGAACGAAGCAAATCTAGGAGAAAATAGAAAAATTTGATCAGAAATGTCCATTTTTAATTTTCAGAAAACTTTTGATCTTTTTACTAAAATAACAAAAACAGTTTTTTTTTTGTGGAAGAAAAACTCACCGTTGTGGATCTTTCAAGCGAGTCATCATGCGCCATGGTTTGCTATCTGGACTGTTGCAGTAATTCTTGAGCTCTTCAAGTGCTTTTGTTGTTTCAAAAACAGATTGTGCATGAAATTCATCGCTGGTCAAAAGGCGTGGTTTCGGTGGGAATCGCCGAAGCCTGAACGGATAAATTGATTAAAGATTAGATATGTAACTTGTACAATCACTCATTTGGCTCAGTGGCAGACCACCACTGGCAGTCTTTAAAAATGTATGTCGTGAAGAGAAGAATTCGATTCGAATCGAGTGATTAAATGCAAAACAGTATGGATATCTCACCAAAATCCCCGAAATTTCTGCACAACAGTCAAAGGAAAATAATAGATGCAAATGGTAAGAATCATAATACTGACAGAGGCTTCGTGATAGCTACTTGAATAGAATATCATAATGTTGGCTCCCAGCTGAAGACTCCATTTGATTAGATCTTTGCTTCGTTGATTTTTTGGCGGTCCTAATCGATAGCATATGACAAAGCTAAGAAATCCAGTCACTATTACATACCAAAACACGTACGTTTGATAAACGAATAGGATTGTGTTTAGATTTTCGATTATCATTTGTATGAAGTAAATGCCAACAGTCCATCCTCCGATCAGCATGCCATACATTGCCGGTTTCTATGGAAACAATACATACACGGGAAATGAGGTAAACAATTTTTAATCGTAAATATGATATGATTCAGAATGGCCTTCGTTCGAATTTCCCAACACAAGGCAATACAAATTTTGCATCACATTGTGAAATTTCCTACCTTCGGTATCAGTTTACTGCTGAAATAAACGACCACCAAGAAAGATGCGAATATTCCGAGGAAGATTCCGGTCAGATAGTAGAACAGTGGCGTTTGGCTCAATGTTCTTGCATAGAAGAAAAGGACTAAGCCGGCGCCAAGCAAAAGAATTTTGCCAATGTCGATGCGCACAATGTTCAATTGCACGGTGTATTTGTGTGCTGTTTCGATTCCGACGCATGTCTGATTGAATGGATCGATCTTGATGATTTTCCGTTTGCCTACGTTCATCACATTGAAAGAGAAGATGGTGCGTTGATTGTCATAATGTTGTTTCACCTCGTCCGGTGATTCGCCCTCGAATTGAACAAAATCATCATTGTCAATGTTTATGCGAAATCTTAAGCTCTGAAAAATTGCCGCAATCGATTTGCTTTGCCCGCGAAAGCAGTAAATTTGCAAATCCGGTTCGAATGAACCGAATCGCTTAAGGTATGCATAGGTATGAGTATCGCCTGGTTGAAGATAAGTCACTGGAAAAATTTTAAATCACCACAAATTAGCATTTTTTTTATTCAAACAACTACATTTTTTAGGTTATGTTGACTCATTCTGAAAAAAAAAATAAACGTTTGTTACCGCTTAATTCCGAAGCACAGACTGGCACCAAAAACAGCACAAAACACAAAAAATTCATGATTTTTTCATTAGATTCAAACAGAATATTCACTATGTTTACAGTATAAGTACAAATCGTGGACAAAAACTCAATGAAACTATGAAATTGTCAACGTTTTTAGCGTAGCTATGGCTTGCCTCTTCATATTTACTTCACTGTAAACAATGTATTCGTTGGCCGAACTGTCAAAGTAATATCTCACATTTGAACAGCTGTCAAATTCGCTGCATGACAAATGCAGTGGTAAGTCTACCAATATGAATGCATAAAGAGGGAGAGAGAGAGAGAGAGAGAGAAAGAAAGAAAAACAAGCGAGCTTGACTTATGTTCTTTTTGTGCAGATTTTTTTTATTGGGTTCTATTACATGGTTTGAATGAAAATTTCGATCAATTTTTTATTTATGTTCAACGAATGTTTGAAAAAAAAAACTGAATAGAATAGGTTAGCTGCCATACAAATTATAATTTGTTACAATTCTCTCCCCTACCACGGATTTAAAAAAAAATTCTCTTCTTTTTAAATTATGGCATACACAGCTCAGCGACTGAACAAAACCAGTCAATGAAATGTTCAATCATTTTCCACTTTGGTTCCTTAATCAAAGAGCACTTAATCTAAATTGTTTGTTTGTTTTCCTGTTCGGTATTTAAATCACAAAGAAAAAAAGAAATCCACTGAGTACTTATGGTTTCTTTGATTTGAGCATTTCCGAATGCTGTAGATAATCGTAGATTTTGCCAGCATAATACTCATGATTCCGTAGCGATGCAATCACTCCGCCTTTGTTCACAAATGTCTCTGGATCACGTTCATATGGAATGGGTTGATTTCGAAGTGTTGTCATTTTGCCATTAAGTGCACTGAGAATGGCATGACCAGCGCATAAATCCCATTTCTTGATCTCCGTCAAATGAATATAGTTGGTGGCATTGCCGAAAACAACTTCGAGTACTTTGTAGCCGGCACCGCCAGCAATGGTTATTGGTGTGCTGTCACCGAAAGCCATTTTCACCATTTCCTTGACATCGCCTGAATGCGATCGAGATACAATGATTTTTGGGTTCCTAACAGCTGCCATCTTTGTGACGCGTTCATCTTGAACTTTATGCAATGTTGCCGAAACAGCCACATCTTTCCAAGCCCAAAATGTTTTCTGTGAAAATGGATTGTGGATTACGCCGATGACGGGCTCACCGCGAATCGCTACGCACACCATTGTCGTTACATATTGGAATAGATTTTCTGAAAAAAAGAAATCAATGCGAAATGTATTAGGACAAGCAGCTACCATAGAAGAAAATCGAAGATTAAAGCGAAATGATTCATTTCATTACCAGTATATTCCTGTGTTGCATCAAGTGGATCAATCCAAACGGTGACATCATCAGCGCCAACCAGATATTCATCGGGCAGATGAACATCTTCATCGATGACCGTCGGATCGAGCTCAAAGTGACTGGCTTCGGAGCAATCGGCATGCACATCTTCCTCCGAAATGATTTTCACTTTCGGAAAAATCCGTTTTAGCCCCTGTTCCATGGCACAATGCGATTTGAGATCAGCATTTGTTAGAGGATCATTTGCACCCTCTTTTGTCTGGCCTTTGCTTTTCGCATGGATATTATCTGCCACCGAAAGCACCTCCAAACCACCCAATTGAGCTGCTTGTATTCCACCGATCAGTAACTTTCGTAAATTAATCTCGTTCGGGTTTCGCATAATGAATCCGTACGGTCGATAGTGACGTGATCCCGTTGAATTATTGAAAAACAAATAATAAAACACAATAACTAGGCAAAAGCTTAAAATTACCACGCCACATTTGTTAATTTTCACCGCACCGCTCAAATTCATGATTCAACCCGGAAAAAAGGCTTACAATAATTAGAGAAAAAATTAAAAATAAATATGTCGGCACTAAAATTATATTATTTTAATTGATTGGGTGTTTGATCGGTTCATTTGTGCTAAAAAATCCAAGAGATACGAATTTGCACAACGAAAATCATATTTACAATAATCAGCGACGTTTAATTTTTTTCGTTTCGTTTCGTTTCTATCGTCAAACTGTCATTGCACACTCACACTCATACATGCACACACTATCAGCAGCAAGCTCACACTCTAGTGGAGCGATTGCGAAATCAAATGTCAAACTCAGTGTGATAATTTTTTTTTTTTGAATTTGCTGTGACCGTTTTTCAATTGACCGATTATCGGCAATATTGGAACGCACAATTATTGCTCGTTTGGCGCGTGGCTTTGTGGGGATTTTTTTCGCATGCTGATAACTTATTATTCGATATCATCGAATTTCATTTATGATGACTGAGGGCATTGAATTTCGCCGCTACGTCATTCCAGCCGTTGCTATGACAACGCACACGTATCTCATGCAGACTCAAAACAAACGCTCACAATTTGTTTTCTTATTTTCTCTGTTTTTCTCACTTTAATTATCCATCATTTGCATATATTTTACAATAATAATGAAATATCAAACAGCTAACGCTGTAAATTCTCTTTTTCACCAGTGTATACTGGAATGAGACGAATGACATCATTCGAATTTTAATATTCATAATTTTCTATTTAACGTTATTATTAAAATTTAATTTTATTCTATAAATATATAACTCGTGAAACTTAAAAGAACGTATGTTTTTTTCAGCCTTTTTTCATGCGTGGATTACAAGTAACTAAAGTGAGATAACGAAAAATTGTCTTCGGCAAAGTTGTAGTACATAGTAGTATTGATCTTGGTTTGGTGAATGGTGATTTGACCGTGGGTGTAAATACGATGAATGAAAATATCAATGAAAATAATTTCGGGACGGCTAGCGGTCATATAGTAGTATTGGTGGTGTTCAACAACATTGCCCAAGACAATTTTTTGCTATCTCATTTGAGTTGCTCGTAATCCACGCCGGGAATAACTAAAAAACATTTAGTGCTGGTTAGTCATACTCGTTAGATCATATATTCGTATGATCATAATGAACGGTAATCAAGTGGGCCACTCGGAATGGCTTTAGCTTTTATAATATATTTATCTTCGATATATTAAAGACGTCTTTCTTTATTATCGGTCGCAGACAATATTTATCACTTAAGATGACTTTCATTGCCTTATCGGTTAATTTGATAAAAGATTTACTGATCACAATAATTTTTTTCACGGTCATGAACTGGTTAACCTCAATGTAATCTATAGATACGATCAGGTGCAATGGTGCATCATCACTTTTAAATGCAAAAAAATGGTTATGATGTTGAATGAATGTTCTTGGAATTGTTTATTGTTACAATTTTGCTTAATAGAAAAAACTTATGCGATGAATTCTCTTGGAATTGAATATTGTTGCAGTTTTTCTTAGTAGATGGATTTCAAATAGGTTGACTCTTTGATTTCTCATTCAGAGATGGGTTTTTTGAAACTGTAACATTTAAATGGAAATGATTTTTTATTCATCACATATATCTTGTAAAGACAATGACAATTAGGTGTCAATTTTTATCAGCATACATGCAAAAATTGGCAAAAATTGGCTCAATCATTGCTCAATTACTAATATATACTATATCTGTAATTGTATCGTTTAATTCAATCAAATGCATTGAGGCTATTTAAGCAGAGTTCTTCTGATGGTCATCGCAGTTCGCTTGATAAAGTGATCTGAAAATTTGGTTCCAATAGTGAAACGATTTTCAAGTCTAGAAATATATTTATTGAATTTTCAAGATAATTATCAGATAAAAGTGAAATATTTCCGAGTTGAGGTTAAGAAGATGATAGTTTTTGCTCTGCTGATCCTTGTTACAACTCTTGTCTATGTTTATGTGAAATGGCGTTATACGTACTGGAGTAAACTCGGTGTTCCATATCCTGAACCAGTTTTCTTCTTTGGCAATGTGCTTGAAGCATTCACCATGTCGTCGCATATCAGTTCACTTTGCGAAAAATGGTATAAGTAAGTAAAAGTAGATCATGCTAAATGCCTTACCCATTCTTAATTTCAGCACAATGAATTCCATTTGAATATCATTCAACGTGAATAGCTTAATACATATATTTATTATGCGAATTAAATTGAAAATAATAATATTAATGAAACATTTTGACAGTAATTATCCCACATATCCTTACACTGGCTACTATAAATTACTGAACCCGGCAATCAATCTTCGAGATCCCGATTTGATCAAAGATGTTTTAATCAAAGATCACTTTAGTTTCCATGACAATGAGCAACATTTCAATAAAAGATTTGATTCGTTGATGATGCACAATCCATTTGTGGCATCAAACGATAGCTGGAGAAAGGGTCGCACCGTTCTTACACCACTGCTAACTTTATTGAAGGTATGTTTTCTCTAGCCAAATGTGAAATTACAGCATTTCAAAGGAAGACACACAGAAAGAGTTCCTTTTATTGAAATAATTTTTCACCGTTTTTACTTCTCAATAGGTTAAGTCATTTCATCCATCCATTGTAGATAGTTGTGAAAAACTAACAAACTACTTAAGAACATTACCACCAAATGAAGATGTCGAAGCAAAATCTGTAAGTTTGCGTATAATTCATTTCTTTTTGTTTTTCATTGGAAATAAAATTATAATTAAATAATTTTGATTAATTCAAATTAAATATTAATCATGTCCATCTAAAGCTTATAGCTCGATTTGCCACTCAAAATGTGATGCGATGTCTATTCAGTTTGGATACGAAATGTTTTACTGAGACAAAAAATGAGTTTCTTGATTTGGGCACAAACATTTTTAAGCCAACATCTTGGAGTGGCATCAAATTGATGATAATGTCGATTTGTCCCATGCTACGGGATATTATGCCATTTGGTTTTGTGCCCGCTTATGTTGGTGAGTGGTTTCGATGCTTTGTGAAAGAATTGAAAGAAGAACGACTAAAATCAGAACAGCACCAGCAAGATTTTCTCCAAATGCTCCTAAGTTCAGTGGATAAATATGGTAACATTCTATTGTGACTTCATTTTAAATTTTACAATATTTCTAAAAATCACATTTCGGTATACTTTCCAGATATTAACGAAGCAGAGCTAGCTGGCTACGCATTAGCAATGTTTGTTGATAGTTATGAAACGTCCAGTGGTGTTCTTGGTTTTGCTATCTATGAATTGGCTCGGAATCCGGATATTCAAGAACGTCTTTATGAAGAAATAACGGATGTATTGGCCAAATATGATGGCGAATTCACATTCGAGGCTCTTCATGAAATGAAATATTTAGAAAACGTGATTTACGAAACGATGCGCTTAGATGTTGTTGATGCACTCATAAGTAAAATTTGTACCAAAGAATATACTCTTCCGTTGATTGAAGGTCAAAAGGAGCCAGTTACCATATATCCAGGCACAGCGATTCAGATATCAACAAGAGCATTGCATATGTAAGTCGAATTTGGTATCTTAATTAAATTGTTTTTTATTACATCAAATAACTTCGATTTTTTCAAAAATATCCAATAGGGATCCAAAGTATTATCCAGACCCAGAAACATTTGATCCCAACAGATTTACAGAAGAAGAACGCCGTGAACGTCATAAGGCTGTATATTTGTCTTTTGGCGAAGGCCCACGAATGTGCATTGGAATTAAATTTGCGTTGGCTCAAACAAAAGCTGGTTTAATGTCAATAGTTCGTGATTTTAAAGTCACAATATCGCCGAACCAGAAGCCGGTTGTTATGGATAATCGTGCATCGATATACCATGCACGTCATGGGCTCATTGTAAACTTTACGCCAAGGACAAAGACAAAGTAATTTTTTGCACGTCTCTTAAGACGTGAAATTAGAATCATTGCAACAAAAACCATGAAATGATGCCATTTTTCCCACATACAAATCCTTTTCCAGCGGAAATACGTAAAAAGTAACGGATTTTCCAACTACTATATTCGTAGAATCAATCAAGTCCAATTCAATAGGGCGATATTATTCCATAACTACTGAAATTAATGAATTATGTATCAAAACTTAGATTTAAGCTTTTTTCCTTTTTTCGAAAAATACTAAAAACTATCAAAAATCCATCATCCAATTTAATTACCTCTTATTTTACTAAAAAAAAAAAGTATTTTTAAATTTATTGTCGATTCTTGAACAATTTTTTTATTGTAATAAAACACCGTTGAAAATTCTATCATATTTGCTGTAATCAGCGACGTTATTTATTTTTTCGTTTTAGTTCTGCCTTCAAACCAATATGTGTACATGTACATTAACACACGTACACATTTGTTATGCTATTTACTGTTCACACTCTAGCGATAGCGGAACAAAATGTCACACTCGGTTGTGATATAATATTTTTTTTTGATTTTTTCTGAGCCGTTTTTCAATTGACCAATTATCGGCATAATTGGTACGCAGAGTTCATGTTCTTTGGCATATAGATTTGTGGGGAATTTTTTCGCAGGAAAACGGTTCATTATTCAATATCGTCGCATTTATAATGATTGAGTGCATTGTATTCCGGTGCTACGTCGTTCCTTCCGTTGCTATGACAACGCACTGTTTCCCATGTTGATACAAAACAAACGCTCACAATTATTATAGTTGTTGGGTCAGATTCAGTGCTTTTTGGAGTGTTTTCAAATGCAAACTATTTTTGAAATACGGTTTTAAAAATTACAAACACGGAGAAATTATGGCCGAACCTATTTCTATTGGAAGTAGCACCGTAAAAGAGAATAGGATATCGTTTTTCGAGCATCGCAATAAAATTATTGGTAAATTTTTTGTTGTGTTCATTTCTTATTCTAATTTTCTCTCATTTTTTGCTTTTAAAAACTTTTAATCATCCTTCATTTGCATACTTTAAAATAATCTTCAACAATAATCTCTCTCGAAATAATCCCCAGAAATACCGAATAGTGCCAGCCTAACGCTGCAAATCCTGCTATTTACCAATGTTTACCTGTCTCCGGTGTGGATATTATCTTCGCTACAATTCTTCTATATGAATGCATTCGATGAGTCTGGCAAGCATAACACCATCATCTTAGGCGGTGCCCTCTTCCTAATTGCTGCTCCGCTCGAAATCTGTCGCCTTTACCTGGGCTATTCAGGCAATTTAAGAGAAAAAGTCCGTTTGTTTTATCTTTGTAAAATTTAATCTCAATTTATTTCAAATTAACTAAGAAAAAGAGGAAAAAAAAAACATTTTTCAGATTGCTGATTTTGCCGGATTCTTGATTCTTTCAACATTCATCCAGCAACCAATTGAAATTTTCTTTTTCTACATCGTGCACAAAGCAAAAGTGTTTTGGCTTCAGATCTTTGTTCAACTGTTGGCCACAGCTTTAGTTTTCTTGCAAATTGTGATCGGATACGTGGCCATGAGACGAATGACACAATTAAAGGCACAACAATTTCATATTCTTACGCTAATCGAGCAAAGTAATAAAAATCGGTAAAAATCATGGAAATTAAAACTAAATGTGTTCAGGTCAATTGTGGAAATTGTTTAAAATGAAAAAAAAACCAAGCTGAATGAATCATCATTAGTGAACGAGATCAATGGTTTGGGTTGAAGGAGCTAATTGCAAATCATCAGGTTTACTTCGTTTAAATGCATTCGCATCGAATCCAAGAATTTTTCCAACGCTTGCACATTTTCGTGATGAACATCTCCCTTACCAATTAGCTGCGATCGATTTGGTAACACGGTGTAAATGAGCTGGAATTAGGAGAATAACGGGTTAAAAGTATTGTTAGAATAAGGGAATAATCTTCGTGAATCCTACCGAGAATGATTTTTGGATGATCCAGCTGTGATATTGCTTCAGTGTAATGGCATACGCTGCTTCAATGTGACGCTTGAGGTTCTCTTCACACGTGTGGTCTGCGACTACATTCGAGAAAAACTTTTCGATCATTTCAAGCGCTCTGTAAATCGAAGAGTAGGCATTAGTTTGAGGTCGATGTGTGGTTTAACGACTTTCTAGAATTTTTTTTTTCTTCATCAAAACGACTCTACCTTTTCAGCCAAGTGAGTGCATCTCTGGCGCAATTTTGTATTCTTTCTTCGCTTGATTTAAGCATATCGTCCAAAAACATGTAATCAATTTCATTTTGTACGTAGATTTGCCACAATTTCTGTAAATAAACATTCAATTTCATGCATTAACTGTTTGATTCATTTCGCTTAATTTTTCAAATATAATTAAAAAATTGATTGATTCGCTTACTTCAATGTTTCCATTCATGTCATATACAACAGGTTTGAATAGCTTTCCAAAGCTGTCTGAAAAGAGAGAAAACAACAATTTAAAAGATTGATTAAATGGTCGGTGATGATGACAAAGAATATCACTTTGGAATTGAATGATGCGATCATAAAAAAACAATGCGTCAGTCAATGTAACAATCTTTAGTTTACATATCGATAGCAAATCGACAAACGAACGAACGAACGCACGAATGAAAGAAGATATCCGGGTCAAATAAACAGAGTGCAATGAAACCCAATAAGTGTTAGTAGTAATCACCTTGATACAAAAATCCACAAACCGACTTTGAATGAGAATAGAAAATACTGAAAACATAGCCCAAGCCGATAGCAAAAGTAATGCATCACATTGATTGTGTTGAGATGGAAAAATATGCCACAAAAAAAAACTGTACACCAAGAAATTGAAAAACAAATAATTTTTGATTGAACGAAATTCCTATGCATCTTTGTGTGAGAGAAGTGACGATACAGAGATGAAAAAAAAAACGAAACAAAAATAAGGGGGGTCAAGGAAAAAAAACGAATAAATCAAAGTTGTGATTGTAAATGGAAAGAAGAAATAGCATCTATTTTCGAAACGACAAAAATGTCCGCGAATTAGGTATTTTCAAATGCTTTCTGCTTAATCAAAAAATATGCGATGACTCGAACTTTCCACTGATGCTATTTTTATACATAAATTTTGTTTTTAATGCACTTCAACAAACGATACGGTTTTTGACGACTCAAAAAAAAAACTTACCAATGATTGCGACTACTTCGCGCGATGCGTTCAAAAATAATATGGTTTTTACTTTGCCCTGCTCGTCGATCGCTTGAAATCCTTTTAGCTGCTTGAACACAACCCGTGGCTGTTCCGATAGTGCTTTCCCCATTTTTCTCCAGATTTTTTCTTTTTTTTTCTTCCTTGATTGGCAAACAAATCACAAACACGATATAGACACCGACCACACTCTTTCCGCGGCAACTAAGCTCTGAATGTTGTTGCAGCGCACGAGTAACGTTTCAAAGTGGTGACTGTAATGAGCCGACCGAAAACAATATGCTTTATTAATGTATGTCTGTTTGTGTGTGTGTGCATGTGTTCGTTTGCTAAAGCGTGATTTTTATCTATGCTCTCCAGTGCTGCCGCAGGGATACCAACAAAGGTTAGTTTGTGTTAGAGCGATAAGACTATCTCTGAACTAATGATAAGTATCATAAAAATGTATGTGACAAGGTGTTCACGAAATAGGTGCACCACCACCGAATACAGCCAGGTGACTGACTGACTGATTGATCCAACTCGCTTGTGCTTTGTTTATATTACGTTTTTTTTCTTTCACACTTTCAATCCATACACTGATAATCTTTCATCTATTCTCTTAAATCGATTATGCCTATTTTCGACTATGGTAGTGATTGTGTGTGTTGTTGAGCCAACCAACCGACCGACTGACGCACACATACATAATCAATGAAACTCATTACTGGCACTAACATTTCATAATGTTTCCATTTTTATCTACGGCAATCAAATCATAATTCTGCTCAATTACGTCGCTTGGAATTGTAAAACGAAGTGACGATACGTTGCTCGTCATTGTCGGCGTCGACGTCGTCACGTCAAATCGATAATATTTCATGCACATTCCGTTTTGTTTGGAACGAAACTCGACCAACACCAATGGCAATGACGACTTGATTATCTTTTGCTGAATATCACAGCGAATACATGACTCATTGGCGTGCTCCGCAAATTGATTGAACCATTTATGTGAGTTCAGTAGAATGGCACAGTTTTCGGTGAGAAAAGTTAAGTCATCATTTCGACGGCAGTGATAATTGGTTAAAATGGAATTTGTCTTTCTTATCGTTGTTAAGCGTCGATTGCTTTGATTTAGCTTATCATCTGCGTTTCTGTCACTTGCACACTTTGAAGCCATTCTTCGTGGTAAATCACGCGGGCAATTTTCAACGGTAAATATCCGGTTGACATAATCGATGTCATTGCCCATAATGCCATCAGTTGTATGGCCCAAATCAAATATATGGCCGATTTCATGGCATATCGAACCCAAAGCCGTTGCAAAGCAACCGCCATAGGTATTTTTGCCATTGCTATCATCCATCAGTTGATTTGTGTCGACTGGAGTTTCATCTTGGAAACACCTTTGAATGGTGGCAAAATTGGTTGGCCATGCATAAAGTGTGCCACTGCCAAAGAGAGCCACATCACCAATTCCAAGCGCTGCATGACCTTTTACCATACCATTTTCACATAATGTACTGGCCAGTATGCCAAAATACTTGAATCGATGCTCGGTGCTTTCTTGAGCAAGAATTTCCTTTGCATGATGCTGCCACAGTTGATTCTGATCCCATTGTCTTGCCTCTTCTACCGATATACTGCTGTGGAACGGTTTACATCCGATGAATTCGAACGATTTTCGATCGAATCCATGCTTTGTCAGCATTTCTGCATACAAACATTGCACCAGGCGAATGGCCAAATCGATTTTTTCACACGCACGTTCAACCGTAGTCTCTGCATCACACGGAGCTTGAAAATGACCATCATGATTAGAGCAAATGATGTAGAGGATTCTCAGCAAGTACCTGGGATTTTTACGTTTATCGAAAATCAACGAAATTCCATGTGTGGCACAACAAAAGCGAAACTTGAGCTGATTGACGCCAGGCGCTAGTTCTACTGCCACTTTAAACTTGCCATCGCTAGCGATTTCTGCACTCTCAATGCTGCCTTCAATGTTTTCATTGACAATTTGTACAGATGAAAGACCGTGACGATGACGACGATGAGTGTAGTTGAGAATTTCACCTCGAACCAAAACAATCGAATAATCAAATGAGTCATTTGGTTTCACGTTCAGAAATCGAATCTGTGGCAGCCCTTCTTGGGCATTGTGTTTAACGCAAAACATTTGTCCTTGCCTCAAATGACGAACATTTCAACAATAACACACGCACGAAAAAAAAACCATCACATTTTTGTAAACATGCTGAATCAGGTGTTAGTTTTGAAGCGAACCAGTGTGGTATGTTTATGGTATTAAATTTTAAATGAGAATGAATGCTAACCCATCGTGTGTGAATATTATGTTCTTTTACATTTAGCTTAATTCGAAAACCTATTCAATTGCAGCGATTCAATACGATTTTCTCAATAAAATTCACAGAACATCACACACACACACACTGAATAAAATGTGTAAAAAATTCGTAAATAATGACGCATCGAACTAAATGACTTTGTTCAATTCTAAGCCCAAATGTTTGTAGTGTGTTGTTGTCTTTTTTCCCATGACAGAAAAAAAAACAACATCTACTGTCAAAGTGGCTCTGTGATCGCATGTGACCGGCGAGTGAATTAAACGTCATTCGTCGTCGTCGTCGTCGTTGTCGTAGTTTTATTTATGAATTAACACAACATTGACAAATGACGCAGAGTATCGAAGTTCTTTTCTTGCACATGCATTCCAGCGTGTGCTGGATGATTGATATACGCAAATTGTTGCCAAGGCGTACTCACAAATAAAATCGCTTATGTTTTATTTACATTAATATTGAAGAAGAAGAAGGGAAAAAAGTCGGATTAATCGTTTTTCGAAATCGATTTAAATGCGGCGCGCAAGTGATAACATTGGATTTTTCAATATACTTCGTCACTTTATCGAGGCATGCACACATTGTTTACCATGAAATCAGACACTTTCAATACAAAGTGCAACTGTTCATTTTGCGATGGATGGATTAACGATGAAATCATCGCTGGCTAACGAAGCACACGCATTTTTTTCTATCGGCAAATGGATATAAAAAAAAAATAGCTTACGCCTCCGTCGTTCTTGTTGATAGGGAGAAAATGTATCGTTTTTTCTTTTAATGTGAAGTCAAAACATTCAATCACATTCAAGGTTGTGATTATTTCATTTTAATCATGTGTCGATGCTTAGATTTCCTTTTCCCGTGCTCTTTTCCAATAAAGTACGTGTTTCGGAAAGTTGGCATCTGCTTTACAGACTTTCAAATGTGAGAGATTTATTTATAAGCAAATTAGGTGAAAAGATAGGATGAAATTCATTATCATTTTGCTAGTTAGCATCGATCTTGTTTGTGTCCGGTCATTTCACAGGACAACCATAGATAAAAAAAAATTAGTTCCCCAATCATCGTTTAAAGGCAATATTTCTTGACCTAACCGAAATTTTTTTGAAAAAAATGTATGAATAATCTCAATTATATGTTTTCACCCACCTCAAATTTGGTACAAATGAGATTGCTATTTTTAGAAATTTGAAATTCATCATTCACTTTGCTAAAAAAAAAAATGAGGCATCCTAATCAAAGCTAGAGATTGAGTCAAAAGGTCGTCATAACGGTACTTTCGACATTTTTGTTGCTGTTATTAGATGTTTGCGTTGCCGAATTTGCATTATTATAAAGTATTATGAAGTGTCTAGCAAATTTTTACTACATCAACATGTCTGATATGCCGATTTAGAGTGAAAGAAAAAACGCGAGAATTGGCGATCTGTCGAAAGGCTGGGTAGATAACTCGAAACGCAGTCACACTTAAAATAACGAGGAAAAAAGAGCGCGATTTTGCCGCATTCGCACAAAAACTGCGGTTGTAAAATGAATAAATTTCTATCGTCAATCTGTTTCTCTCTCATTTCGAGTGTTACATGAAGCGTGAATTTCATATCGCATACTTTAATTGCTTGATTTAACTTGTGATCAATTCGCGGTATGGGGAACTCATCGCATCGATGCGATTAGAAGAAAACAAGAATATTCGGCATCACAGCAAATCAATTATCTACACACATACTCACACTCGGTGCTTTGTCCCAAAATCCCCAATCTGATTCGAAATATCAATTCAAAAATTTAGTTTGCTTGCGATTCGCTCCCATTTTTCCACTGCACACAGCGTCAATTTGCTCCATTTCCATATTCGTCGATACCATCCGTTTGACCGTATTGACAAACTTGTTTACTCCAATCATAATAACAATATTTCATGGATGGTGTAGCAAAGAGAGTGTCTCAGTTCAGGGTAAAAGGCTGAAATGCTTAATCTAAATCTCGTCCATTTTTAGAATTGTTATGCACAGAGAAGACCAGAACTAACACTTTATTTGGCCTCATAAACTTTAACTACTCAAATGACCGCATTGTTTTATAACTGCAGTTCTCGGAACGATAAGATGTGTGCTAACCAATAAATGCATTAGAACGGATCCGACCAGTTTTGCCTCCATTCTCTAAATTTGCATGTAAATTTGTTATTTATAAAACATGACAATCCCACAAGCACAGTCCGTAACAATAAAGTTTAAGAGGAGTTAGCTGAACGGCCGAGATAGGTTTTGTATCGTTAGCAAAAGCCAGTCAAATTTCGTTGTTATGCGTTATCAATTCCATATAACAGTTCCGCTATGTTTTTGTTTCTGGTGTTTCCTAACTGCTTTACAATCTATTTTAAGACATCGCCAAAAATATCTTTTAAAGGAAAAAGCGGGAAAAGGGTCAATCAACTGGAGAGACGAAATTTCATTTGATACGCACCGACAATGGCAATGTCAAGGTCTTTTTTTTTTTTTCAAACCACATTTGAAGTGGATCGAGTTCGTTGCGTTTCGCAGCTGTTTTTGCGAACATTTAGTAGTTGGCTTGCCGGCGATAAGACTTACGCATTAATCTGCGTCTAATATCCGAAAGAAATTTCAACAAAAACATTATTATGCTTCGATTCGGGTGCTCTTTGTGCTATACTGTGCTGTGCTGTGCTGTACAACAACAAATGTGATTGTTCACTAATCAGTTTGGCCAAGTTCATTGTCCCGTGGAGCTTTATGCGAGAGACGAAAAACCAGCAAAACAGAAGTAAAAAAGTTCAAAGCGTCGATAACTTTAGCCGAAAATGAGAGAATGGGAAAGTGAAACGAAAAGTGAAAAAAGAAATGAAAACAGAAAGAGAGAGATCATGTCAATAGCCCATATCATGATATATCAGCCTGGATGCATGTGTCGATACGTACGGCGCTTTTTGTTGGCGCTTGTGCCGCCAGCGATTACCGAATTCACAAACGATTCTCCTTCGTGCGACAAAGCCATTTGTTTCATTAATTGATTGGATTGAATTGAATTATTGCATTACCAATATCAAAAATTGCTGGCGCGTGTGAACTGCCGAAAATTGTAGCAGTCAATGGAACGAAAAAGGTCAATGGGAAAAAGAAGACGAAACGAATTACAAAATGATATCAAACATAGCGTGTGCATTTTTCGTCATACCAATTCAGGAACAAGGAATGTCAATTGCCTTAAATTGCAGTGAGAAGTGAATTATAACATCGCTTTGTAGTACACATGTTGCGATTTTGTGTCTGATTCAATGGAGCAATGCCTTAATCCTTTTGATGTGCCATTTATTCGCAACAAACGAAGTGTTTAGAAGCGAAATGCTTTTGAGTAGCAATATCAAGTCGAGATTTTTTTACACAGAGTAAAGGTGAAATCTCATTTCATCTGAATTCACACGTGCCTTCACTTGGGCTCGTTCATCTTTGTGTGCAGTCAAGAAATAAAACTACGTACGAAATTGTCTCCACACAAAAGTGTAATTATACGCTAGATTAAATTATGTCAAATTGGCAAGTTAATAGAGTGACATTCAAGCAAATTCTATATTCACGACGAGACGAACATCATTATAAATCATCCAATCACTTGATGCAATTAGTCGAACGCAATTTCTACGAAAATTACAATGTTGGAATAAAAATTGAAAATCCAGTGAATAAGGCGATAAATCTACGATTATTTTCTACGTTTTTATTCCTCGTATCTATTCATATCGGCAATTACTTAATTTAATCCTTTAAAGATGTTTTTTTTTTTGCTACGAGCTCAATTAGTCACTGCTTCGCTAAGCAAAACGCTATGTCTAATTATTTCACAGACATCCCGATGGATAATAAGGAGCAGTAAAGAAAGCAGAAAAATGACGTGTACTTTCCATAATCGTTATTCTCGTGCTAATTTCTATGGCTAATCACGTGATTTGCATTGCATTGAAACAACTACAACCATAGGAAGCACTCTCATTGAGAGTGATTAACTTGGAAATCATTCATATGTTCCGGTTTGTCCCAGGGAATACTCAACAGAAATAGTAGTATTTATCACCCCTTTTAACTAATCAATTCCTTTTGAGCTATTATTTCACTATCGCAAATATCTCCAACGAGTAGAAAAACGTATCAGAAATAAAATCAGAAACGTAAACAAAATGAAAAAAAATGCAATCGAATGTTCGGTGCAAAAAATCTTTTGATATTTTTAGTTTGATTGATTTTGGTTCTTTCTTATTTTTTGCTTCCTTTAATTAAATAGAAACAGTCGAAACCATAGATAAGATTCTAGAAAGCCATTTTTTGCTATATTCTCAAAATTGTAATGATCATGGTAGAGGAATTCATAAATTCCTACGGTATTGCAAAAAAAAAAACGCACAAAAAAATGGTTTAATCTAGACTTTGCGTCGTAATAAAATGCTCATGCTAACTGTGCACATTTCGTATAGCAAAGAAAAACAAAGAAGGAAACGAAGATGACAAAATAAGAAGATGAATTGTCATGCGATAACTTCTATCAGGTTAACATTTGTATTTTTCTATTTAAATACACACATGTGTGTATCAGTCTACTCACTTTTTTTTTCAAATATTTATTAAAAATATAAATAAAATTCCAGCGATTATTTGCAACATCCCTAAAAAATGAATTCATTATCATACTTGCTTTTTATTGAAAAAAAAGAAGTCAATTATCTTTTTCTCCCTTTATCATTGCGTGTCATTTTGTTCGGAACGAAAGTATTCCAATACATTAGATGAATATGTGTTGATCAATTAGAGAAACATGTCGTGTCTGAATGCGTGTAACTATACGGGTTTTCCATTTAGGTAATAGTTTACAGTATTGTTCAATGGAAATTAGAATACAGTCATTAAGATCCATTATCTATGCTAAACCGTCTAATGAAAATAAAATAAATGCACCGATCAAACGTCAATCTCAATGCCAATTTATTTTCAATTTTCCATTCGTAATTATCTGTATTTATGTAGTAGTGTATTTTATTTGTCCACGACACATACGTGTCTGTCTATCTACGCTTATTTTTAGCTTTTGTGTGTTCCAACATTGTATCATCATAACAAGTGTCGTCTTCTTTTGGTTCCGTATTCGTTGAAATACCGTCTTAATCAATAAAAACAGCAAAAAATCAATGCAATTATTATTATAATAATTTTTATTGCGTAAAATAATAAACTATAAACATCTTTCGACGATGATAACCTAATGTTTACGATGAAAAATTGCGAATTGAATGAAAAAAAAAAAATTATTGTCAGAAGTGGGATTCGAACCCACGCCTCCGAAGAGACTGCAGCCTTAATGCAGCGCCTTAGACCGCTCGGCCATCCTAACATATGAGTATCGTGCGTTTCAATGCAGTGTTATACGTACTCGAAGCACATGCCGATCTATTTTTATATTACGCACATTCGATACAGCTGTGACAATCGTCATAACAAACCATGTTTATGAACTTGTTCGAGCTGGAGAGATATTATCGTGTTTTTCGTACAGCGTGAAACGTACGTTTCCTACCGAGTACCACATATTGCGTTAACATAGCGAAATGTATGCGATGTGTACGAATTAGCGTCAAATGCATGTAGTTCACCGAAAAATCAATCGTCCAACGTGTAATTTTCCTACCTAACTCTTTGGCAAAGCTTGTCTTTTTCATTCTTAACACATACAACGTGTATAATTCTTATTCAAATCAACTTTACTGAACCAAAGAAATTGAATAACGTAGATATTAATGATTGAAAGCTGTATGGACATTTTTGATATTTAATATCAGTTCTGATATTTTGTTTTCTTTTTCAATGGGTCGTGCATTTGAAATTCACCGTTATCAGTATATTGGTTCACGATCAACTTTCATTCCTTTTCTATTTCATATTGAATCGAAATTTATATCAACAAGAATTGATATATTGATATATTTTATTGAAACAAAACTATTCTAGCATTAATTAACACTGAATTTCAATCATTCAAAAACATAAGTTTATTGTCCCTGTATTCATACAACAGCTGATATTCAAACTGAATGTTTTAACTTTGTAATAAGAAACTGTGAGCTTTTGAATTGTTTACGAAATGTGTACCATCTTTTTTGTGCGTCAACCTTGATCAACCACTAATGCTGAACAACAGTTTTGTTTATTTTGTGATAAAACAGGTGGATTCTCCTCATTTAAATAAATAACATCAATTATTGAGGTAAATTCGATGTAAAAATTTCGTTCCAAAAGACACGCTCAGCATTCATATGTTAGGATGGCCGAGCGGTCTAAGGCGCTGCATTAAGGCTGCAGTCTCTTCGGAGGCGTGGGTTCGAATCCCACTTCTGACATCATATTTTTTTTTCTCTCTCGTTTGCTTTAATTTCAAATTGATTTTCTTTCGTTTTTAAAGGAAAATTAAAAACAAACTATTTTGGACTTATTGAAAAGAAGATATATTTGATAGCTAAAAGAACTACATTGAATTATTCCTGAGAAAATTGTATAAATAATTGCCTAAGCTATTATTATTAAAAAATACACAATCTATTTTTCAAGGACTCGGAAGGATAATTGTTTTACTAGTCCAAAACTTTGAATCGCGAGTATTTCATTGTTGTCCAGTGGAAATACATCGTTGGATGGAATTAAACTATTCATCGATGTGTAATCCATACTGCATTTTTCAAAATTGATTCGAATCTCGTACACAGTATTCGGTTCGATGACAATCGCTCCAAACGCAGGAAAATCAATATAATCGTAGATCTGTAGATAGCAGCGCGTGATGCAACTGACTTTTTGCCGATACAAAACCAATTCCACTTCATCATCTGGATTCGATGGTTTTTTCACCAAACTCACCCAACCATACTTGAATTCATTGATTGACGTGTTGAATATTTTCGCGTAACTGAATCCGACTAAACAAATTTTTGTGCTCGATCGAAAAGAGGTCACTTCGATTGCATTGATGCGTGACTCGTGTCCATTTTCTAAACTTTGAATCTCAATCGTTGACTGTTTTTCATTGTGCCAAAGTAATGGATATTTTGTTGACATGATAATAAAAATCTTTTTGCGATCTTTGTCCGTAAAAAACTCAAAATATTCCGTTAGGAGCGAAGTAATTGTTGGATTGGGCATTGAACCATATTCGATTAAATCAAAGTGTTCACCCAACTGGCTTCGAATGTCATGTAATGTTGCTTTCTTTCCAACATGACGCCGCTCCCAAGCATTTCGAGCCCAATTCAAGCATCCGATGAATAGTTCCTTGCCATGGATTGTCTCATTGTTCATTAAAATCGACCTTAAAACGTCAGTGCTACAATTCGGAAATTCTTCTGTGTTGAGGAAAAACGTAAGATTTTCCGTGATTTGCCATTCGCAATGTGCTTTCAGTTCGGGAATATCCATCTGTAATGCCAACTCAAAAGCATCGCACAAGTCATCTAATGCAGCAACTTGCATTATAAATTGTATGCATATTTTAAAGCACTCGTCGACATCATACTTTTTGGCCAGGTAAGCAATTTCGGCCACATCTTCCATGGAGACATCCATTTCATCCAAATAGAAGAACTGAAGAAACTTCTTGAATCCATCAGCAGTGACATCACGTAAACGAACATCGCCCGTTTCTGGCAACGATCCGAAAAACATTGTCTTCAGTACAGTACTGCAGGTAGACAATATCGATTTGTGTGCCGGTACCGATTCTGGACTTTCACAATCATCGAATCCACAAACAAAATTTATATCCGCCGTGATATCATCTAAGTATAAGTCAGCCAATTGGTTTTGCTTCATTGTCTTTACTTTCGTTTTTTTCGTTGCTTTCATTGCTTTTCTACTGCATTCTGATGCTATGACTTTGAAAAAAAAAGGAAAATTATTGAAAATTGAAAGGAAAAAAGAACAAAATTATTTATTATTATTAAAACTAACCTTTGTATCTGTCTTCTTCAAACGAGACATCTTTGTGGAATATTGGATTACACATCTTTCTTTGAGAACGAAAATCGGAAAAACATCAGTTAATACAGATAAAAATTATGCTGTAAATGAAATAAGTTATAATTTACTACAAACCTTTCTACTCTGTGCATATGGAACGCCATTTCCGATTGGTTTTTCTTGATTTTAATTAGGAAAACTTTTCGCTTACTGAGAGAAGAATACTACGGACTGATCACTGAATATCCAAAAATGTTTTGTTTTTACATGTTTATTCAAGCAATAAATATTCCTGTAATGTCAACATGGTTTGGATTTGACATGCGTTTAAGTACCATTCTAAGTAAAAAAAAAATAGAAGTACAGGACAAGCATCAATCCAAATATTACCGAATGAATGAAATGATGGTTTAGTCTAGTCCCTTGTGTAGTCCAATGAATTTTGAACAGCAAGTTTGATTCCAACTAAGTTAAAATGATTCATCTAAATTTTGATTAGAAATGGGATGAAAACCAAATAAAATCAAGGGGAAAACCAATGCTATATTGCTGGAAAGTATTCGGTTGTGAAAGTATATACTAGTAGAATGGGAAAAATCTATTACATTAGAGCTTAACTTGTTGCTATATTTAAAATATTTGTCGATGTAAGTCAAAGTGTTGTATTACAAGGAATTCAATGCATATTTTTCATTAAAAAGAAGTCAAATCATTGGAAATTGATTAGAAGATTAGTGCTTATTGCTTTTACCCAGTTTCCATGTTCTCAGCAAAAATTGTATAGGTTTCAAGTCCGAAAAAATCATGCTGCAATTTCATGGTTTTGAGCTTTGTGGAAAGTGTTGTAAAATTTCGTCACATTTTGCTCTCTAGGCTATCGCAATTATTATCGTTAATGGGATACAGGTGCGGCCATTAATTACGACAGTAGTAAGCAGGAGGCTGCAACATTGACTTCTTTCCATACTAATTTGACGTTTGTCAGTGATGAACGATTTTGCAGTGCCATCTGCACATATTTGACTATTCAAAGTGAACTAGCTGTTATCAGTAATGATGAGTCATTGATGTTCAATTTTAGGTCATAAACGGCACTTTTGCAATTTTCAATGTACCGTTAATGACCCAAAATTGAGCATCGATGACTCATCGATACTTATGACAGCTAGTTCACTTTGAATAGTCAAATATGTGCAGATGGCGCTTTTCGTATTTGAGGTGATACGTTGCAGCTGCCCGGTAGTAAGGTAGTAGCTTCTGAAAAAGGGCAATTATCAGAGTTGATAGATTGAATCACTACCTCAGGCGGTTGCACGCTTGTTTATTGTGACTTTCTTGTGACGTGTTGACGACAACAACACACTGGACACCACACATCACATTCGACACGGTTGTTAGATGTGAGAAACAAAATGATTAAGACTTATCGTATAGAACGAAGCAGCACGATTCGCAAAGACAAGACACAGAATAGCGAACAAATTCACGTGATAATGCGAGTGCTGGAATCAGAATTGATGCTGGTTTTATAAACATTTTAATTTTATTTTGTTTTTTTTTTTTCTGTTCGTTCCTTTATTCGTTCGTATGGGTTCCGTGCGCGATATACATTGGTGTACACATAGTGAAATGTGATGCGATTGCAATTAAGTGCAGCGTAATCAGTAGCAGCGCCGCTGATTTGTAATAATCGGTTGGATCGTTATTGTCTGTTGTGTTTTGTTTGGTCTATTCACACACATTCGTTGGGTGATTCGATGGTAGTCGTCGCCGTTGTCGTCGTTGGCCCAAAATTTTGATTTATTTACATTTTGTGCGTTCTATGTGCGGTGTATGCGCCAGCGCTAGCGATAACTGCGTACTCGCGCAGCTAACGGCACAACCGATCATAGTATAAGAGATAGGCCATTCGATTCAATTGAATCAGTAGAAAACAGTTCGTCTTGAAGACACCAAGCAATTGACTCGCCTTTAGTTGAAACCATATTCTGAATGTGCTTTACACAAAATCACTCGTTACACTCAAAATTTACTCAAATTTTCAAACAAAACATAATTAACTGACCAAAATAGAATCTAAAATGTTAGTATTTTGATAACAGTTTTTAAATCGATATTTTTTTCAGATGAGAAAAATGAGAATAAAAAAATATTTCGTAAAGATTTGTGCTAAAATCAACATAAATTTTATATTTTGCAGGAATTTTGGAAGTTCGACAAACGTTTTTTCGATGTGTGTAATGAAAAAATGGTTGATAGTTCTGGTGCTGTTGTTATTTATTGATCCGATTCCATCGATGTGGGCGCAGCCGGTGAAAGTGAATGGCAGTGAAGACGGTGGATTTGGAATGCGAAAGTCGTGCGGTCGAGAATTGGTAGCCAGAGTTGATCGGATATGCCAAAGTCGAGGTGGTCATATGACATACACTCGAGCTCGTAGGGTTCGCCGTGGCATTGTCAACGAATGTTGCATGAATAAATGTGCCGACCATCACATCTACGCATATTGTTCGAATGACAAACCGGAACGAAAACCAAGTGATTCAGATTCATTGCTCAAAACACCAGTTGTGCCAAGAGAATTCATTCGTTTCATTAGCTTCCAACCAAATGCAGAAACCGTTACCAATGCACCCGCTGGAACGGTCACCACCGAAGATCCACGATACCATGACGTTTTTCTCAACGGAAACATCGATACGAAAACATTGGATGAATTCCTAAGAACACTGTCACGCAACTCAAATGACTATGAAGTTAGAACTGTGCCACCCGAATTCCAAATGAACAACCGATACATTCCATCGCGAGCTCGCATCATTTCAAATTATTAAACTGTCGATCATTTTATTTGCTTCTTGCTTAATTGCTGCCACCATTCTTCTGCGTGATTCAATCGAACACAATCATCATCGTTTTAAGGCTGTGCCGAACACAATCATCATCGTTCAAAAAAAATCAAAGAATTGTGATATAATAATTAAGGTGAAATATTTTTTATATAAAACATTTATGTGACACAAATTGATTTAAAGAAAAATTTCGTGATATTTATTAATAAGAAATTTGAAGGAAAAAAAATGAAGAAAAAAGTCACATAAATGATGGACCAATATTGCCACGAAGATCAAAAAAGTAATAATCTAGTCGCTCGCTCGTCCTGCGAAACATTTCTCACATTAATTTTATGTTTTCATATTTGCCAAAAGACAATTCGGTAAATATTTCGAAATGTCGAAGTAACAAAAATCTCAACACTCGCCAATTGCGCCTATTTTATTACATATTTAATTGATCACACGCTCACATCTCATAATAAATCGTCGAATGTATAGATATTAAGGCTCGAAATCGTACTAATTTATGACATTTTTTTAAGTATGCTTGCAACAAATGCTAAGAAATAAATATAAAAAACAAACAAACCGAAAATCAAATCTGAACTTCTGTTTTTTTTTTCTGCTGTTGATACTGAAGTCAAAACATTATGATGAACTTTTCTTGTTCATACGCAATCTTCCAGCCGACCATTTTTTTCAAATCTCTAATTTTCAGACCTATGACAATTTCGTTGCTTATCAATCGTTTTTCTTAACAGAGGAATAGATTTGGTTTTGAAATCTAAAAATATTTCTTCTAAAATCGCTATTTAATAAAAAAAAAACTCTCAATCTAAATTTTTTATTCAGTGGTCTAATTCGATCCACGTCAATTTCTTCATTGTTCGAAACATTTTTTTTTCTAATTTGAACCACCAAATACAGCACCATCTGTATGCGCGACCAGTAATCACATCCGGCACAATTGACAACTCGTCCGACGTTTGATAAGTACGAGTGTGTGTATGTGTTTCGATGCATTCTCTTTGACACTTGACACGTCGCTAGCTGATTTGTACATTTATACATTTGTGAAATACAGATTGACGGGAAACAAATTTGGATTTTAAATAAGAAATTGTGTTCATTTGCCAAAATTTATCCAATTATTTTGTGTTGCGCCCACACAACATTTGAAGGAGTCATTTAAGAGTGATAGAATTATTTCGTGTTTTTTTATTATTTGGTATGTTTGTTTAGCACACCCAGCACCTCTTCCTGTGTGTCTCATGAAATTTGCCCATGTCAACGCTAAAATACACATATTTCATCATCGTTTCTAATTTATTCTTTGAGTTTTGTTTTTATTTGGTTACAGTGCGTTGTAAGAAAGTCATCATTAGTGAAAATGGCACTCGCCGAATCCCAATGCTATACCATCATCAATACACCGGAGCTGTCGGATATTTACAATGAAATGAAAATTAAGAAAGATCTGGGTAAGTGTGTCGGATGCGACAAGAAAACACATCAGTTTGAAGTGATGCAAGGGTTTTTTTTTCAACTGGAAGACCTTTTCTCTGCATAGAAAGTTGAATTCAACCAATTATTGTTCTCCAATATTTCAGAGCAAGGTGATGAGAATGTACAAATCGAAACGTTGAAAAAAGTGATTAAGCTACTGTTGAATGGCGAACGTTTGCCTGGCCTATTGATGACCATCATTCGATTTGTGATGCCATCACAAAATCATACAATCAAAAAATTGCTATTGATTTTCTGGGAAATCGTTCCGAAGACCACACCAGATGGCAAATTGCTGCAGGAAATGATTCTCGTGTGTGATGCATACCGAAAGGATTTGCAACATCCAAATGAATTCCTTCGTGGATCGACTCTTCGATTTTTATGCAAATTGAAAGAGCCCGAATTGCTTGAGCCATTGATGCCTGTCATCCGTGACTGTTTGGAGCATCGTCATTCGTACGTGCGTCGAAATGCCGTTCTTGCTATTTTCACCATTTACAAGAATTTCGAGTGGTTGGTTCCCGATGGACCAGAGCTCATCGCTAATTTCCTTGACACGCAACATGACATGTCATGCAAACGGAATGCATTCTTGATGTTGTTGCATGCCGATCAAGATCGTGCACTGAATTACTTGGCATCGTGTCTGGATCAAGTGAACAATTTTGGTGACATTCTGCAATTGGTCATCGTTGAATTGATTTACAAGGTAAAATGAAACGAATTTCAACACATTCGAATACATTCAAAATAAGTGATTTAATTGTAGGTATGCCACGCAAATCCAAGTGAACGTTCACGTTTTATTCGTTGCATCTACAATTTGCTCAATTCATCATCGAATGCTGTTCGATACGAAGCTGCTGGCACATTGATCACATTGTCCACCGCTCCAACAGCCATCAAAGCAGCTGCCAGCTGTTATATCGAATTGATAATCAAGGAGAGCGACAATAATGTGAAACTCATCGTTTTGGATCGTTTGATTGCCATCAAAGAGAACGAAAATACGGAACGTGTGATGCAAGATTTGGTCATGGATATTCTACGTGTCTTGGCTGCACCAGACATTGAAGTGCGACGCAAGACATTGAATTTGGCCATGGATTTGGTATCATCCAGAAATATCGAGGAAATGGTGCTAGTTTTGAAGAAGGAAATCTCCAAAACGCACAATATCGAACATGAGGACACCGGCAAATACCGCCAATTGCTCGTGCGTACATTGCACAGCTGTTGCATTCGCGTAAGTCATCATTCAAACGTACATTTCAAGATATTTTAATTCAAGATTGGCAAACGAAAAAGAATGTTATACATTTCTGATCGATTCCATTCATACAGTTCCCAGATGTTGCAGCCACTGTTATTCCCGTTTTGTCCGAGTTCTTGTCTGACACCAACGAACAAGCGGCTACTGATGTGCTCGTTTTCATTCGTGAAGCCATTCAGAAGTTTCCGCATTTGCGTGCATTGATCACGGAAAAATTGATCGAAACATTCCCATCGGTGCGTTCGGTCAAGGTGCATCGTGCCGCTTTGTGGATTCTCGGTGAATACATCAACACGAGCAAGGAAATTTTGGAGGTGATTGATGTTGTAAACCAAACTATTGGTGAGATTCCAATTGTCGAGGCCGAGCAACGCAAGTTGGCCGGAGAAGAAGAGCAAGCTGATCCGAATGCGCCAGTCAATTCGACAGCATCGACAACCACAAAGGTCACTTCGGATGGTACTTACGCCACTCAAAGTGCCTTCAGCGTTGCACCGTGAGTCTTCTGAATTTTTGCTCTTACTTTTCAAATGTATAACCAAATATTTTTTTCTCATTCTCAGAGTTGCAAAGAAGGAGGAACGACCACCGTTGCGTCAGTATTTGATGGATGGCGATTTCTTTATGGCAACCACTTTAGCCACCACATTCACGAAATTGGCATTGAAGTATATCGACCTCGAAAAGGATGCCTCCAAGCAAAATCATCTTTGCGCTTCAATTATGCTCACAATGAGCGCAATTTTGCATTTGGGTCGATCCGGTTTCTCAACCAAACCAATCACAAACGATGATGCCGATCGGATTTTCGTTTGTTTGCGTACATTGAGTGAACGGTCACCGGGGATTGTTGAAATATTCAAGGTTTTGTGCCGTGATGCTTTGGCCAAAATGCTCGAGGCACATCAAACCGAAGAACAGCAAAATTTGAAGGATAAACAACAAAAAGCTGTTAAGATTCAAGCCGATGATCCAATTTTGTTCTCGCAATTGTCAAGCGGAAAGGATAACTTCTTGGGTGAAAATGTTTTTGAATCGAGCTTGAACCAAGCTTTGGCCGGAACGAAATCCACGTCGATTGTCGATGTTGCTTCGCCAAATAGTAAATTGAACAAGGTCACTCAGTTGACCGGCTTCTCCGATCCAGTTTATGCTGAAGCCTATGTTCATGTCAACCAGTACGATATCGTTTTGGACGTTTTGATTGTCAACCAAACGGGCGACACATTGCAAAATTGCACATTGGAATTGGCAACGTTGGGCGATTTGAAACTTGTCGAAAGACCACATCCAGTCGTTTTGGCTCCACATGATTTCTGCAATATCAAGGCCAACGTTAAGGTTTCGTCTACTGAGAATGGCATCATCTTCGGAAATATCGGTAAATGTTACTCAACTTTTTTTCATTCGAAATCGAATGCGTCAACTAAATGGCTTTGTTTTTGTTAACAGTTTACGATACATCAACTACGACAAATGTGGTTGTTTTGAACACAATTCACATCGATATCATGGATTATATCATGCCGGCTAGTTGCACTGACACCGAATTCCGTCAAATGTGGCAAGATTTCGAATGGGAGAACAAAGTGTCGGTCAACACAACACTCACCGATTTGCACGAGTATTTGAAACATTTATTGAAATCCACCAACATGAAGTGTTTGACACCGGAGAAAGCATTGTCTGGTCAATGCGGTTTCATGGCGGCTAATATGTATGCACGATCGATCTTCGGCGAAGATGCATTGGCCAATTTAAGTATTGAAAAGCCATTAGATGATCCAAACGCCGCTGTTACCGGACATATTCGAATCAGAGCCAAGAGTCAGGTAATTCGATATTGCAACGTTTTCATAGAGTGTTGCTTACTATTTGAGTTTTGCCATTCAATTTATAATCGTGTTTTGCTCTATTTTCAGGGTATGGCTTTAAGTCTTGGTGACAAAATAAATTCAACGCAAAAAGCGATCCCACAGAAAACCGTTGTTGCCGCTTAAAATGGTCGGTCATTTCCAGAGAATATATTTCGAATCATTTATTATTATTGCATATTAAGATTCCTTGAATCACTTAGATGTAAGAATTTATTATGGATTACATTTGCGCGCATTCCTGTAATGTTGAATAAAAATGCCACTGTACGAAAATCTGATCAATAAATAAAGTTTATTTCAACATGATAATCAACTCTATTCCTTTTCGATTTCCCAATCATTGAGTAGCTTCTCCCCAATCATTTTCAATTCTAAATACGCTGTCGGCCTACGTATAAGACAAAACTGAATCTATTACCAATACGTCTTGCAATAAAGCATAGTAAAGTCTCATTAATTCAACATCGCAATATGATGAATGCATATCGACCATAGTCTCCCTTTTGCTCTGCTGGAAATGTTAAAAATCTCTTAATGCCTACGAAAATAAAATTGATTGTTCTCATTGTCGCAAAGAAGATTGATTGAAACACTTAGGCTGCATTATTTGCGTGCGTTGCTGCGCCCAGTTTGTGTATGTAGTCGATGTGCTTCGCTTAGCAAAGTACGCCACTTATACAGTGACTTACGTCGTCGATATGCTGAGATATGAGTAGTTTGGAGCGAAAATGTAATACAGAAAAGTTGCGTGGAAAAATGTCAAATGAAAAGAGATAGCTATATAGTTCACAAGAGTTTACTATACAGTTATTTATATAGCTATCCCTTTTCCGCTCATTCATCATCGACATTCTTCCGCGCAACTCTTCTGTATTACATTTTCGCTCCAAACTACTCATATATCCGTTGCATACGGTACTGCTCACTGAGCAGTGCTCAGCCATCCAAAAACGTATGTTTGATGTTTTTTTCCTCTCTAAATATTCTCACCGGTAAGCCAAAAACGAGCAAAACTCGAAGATTCTGAGAACGATTTGTTAAATCTAAAAACATCGGTCGTTAAATTGATAAATTGGTCTAGACCATCCTTTTCAGATTTAACAAATTTTTCTCAGAATCTTCAGATTTTGCTCGTTTTTGGCATTTAGAAAAGAAAACATTAGAACTTTTTATTGCTACTCATTAGGCTCACTACTCGACACAACATGAGAACGATTGTTATTTGTATTCAGAAACTAGTAGTATTTCCATCGTTGAAGTGTTCACATCGTGTCCAGATAGTAAAAAACTCAAAACACCATTCGAAAAAGTACTTCGATTTAAAAATACGGTGAAGATTTCTTTTTTTTTCTTTTGTGAACTTAAGGAATTGCATCGACATAACGCTTAACGCATGAACATTTTAGTGTGACAAATTTTGGTACTTTCAAACAACATTTAGTTGGGATTATAACTGTTTTTCTAATTACATTTATAGATTTTCATGTAAAATGGTGGCCGTATCCACACCAGACAATCTAAAAACTATTGATGAAGGATCCCGAGTACAGACGAAATTAACCAACATTAATATTGATTGCCTTGAGGAGATTCTCAAGTATTTGAAGTTGAAGGACTTGTTGAACATTGCTGATTCCAGCGAACGCCTGAGAAAAGCGGCTTCCTTCATCTTTTTTTCTACACATCAGCCGACGATTCGAATTGAATATTACGAACGCCGGGGGATGCATAATCAAAATTGGGGAGTGCGTTATTACTCGAATACTGATAGAACAACATATTCAAGATTGTGGGGAAACCCGGACAAAGGGCAAGAACTGGATACATTGAAAAGTTGTTTCCAATTCCTTCGCTGCTTTGGAAATCGCATTACATCTTTAAAAATCGAAAATGATAGGATTCATTTTAGTTTTGATTTGGTTGACAAATCATATATTATTATCTACGAAAGATTACTTTCCCACGTCAACGAGCATTGTTCCGTATCGTTGAAAGAACTCAATACTTTTCGTTGTCCGTGTGGTACTTTAAATCAATTGAAAAAACCATTTGTAAACGTAGAAACGGTTCGAACTAGCGTTGGTACCTTGAAAACGAATTTGTGGAATATTTTATTTCCGAACTTACGATATTTGAGATATGGTGATCAATCCGGCATTGACGAGTCAAACGAAGGAAGAATTACTAAACGTTTCCCATTCTTTGGGATTGATAACAAATTCCCTCATTTAGAAAATCTAGAGGTGCTTGAATCATTACTTGAATTTGCATGCGAAGAAACAATTCGCAGTCAGCTTTGTACAGCTATCCGATTGAATCCACAGCTTCGTGCCTTGAAGTTGTTATTCACTCCTGATTTGGATATTATACATCTTGCAAGAGACAATCTTCCAGAGCTTGAGGAGCTCGACATTCATACTAATAAAAAGGGCACCCATATTTTACATGATAAACAAATCCATTTTAAAAGTGTTAAAATATTTAAACTTACAAACTACGGGGAGTTGGGATCTAAATTTTCATCTAATTTTGATTTTCCATTTACATTTGATCACCTTGAACAGTTTGGGAGTGCCTACAACATTTTTGAGTCCACTGAAGCTATCTCTAAATTCTTTAAACAAAATCCATCAATTGTGAAGCTTTTACTTAATCGGAAAGATTTTTTGATGGTGCATCCATCTGAGTTTGCAAAAATGCTACCATCGCTAGTGGAACTTGAAGTTGTTTTTGACATACCGGTAGAATCGGTCATTAATTTCATCATAAAGAACGAAACAATAAGGACAGTTTTCTTTTCCACTCGTGATGATCGAAAAAATTTAGACTATTTGCAACATTTGGGTTGGAAGTATATAACTTCGATGGAGAAGTATATATATGCTTACAGAAAGCCACATGAATCACCAGTTTCAGGATAAATTAATGACAATCAAACAAACAAATCTGCGAAAAATTCTGCTTTTAATATTTAAGATTTATGGTCGTCTGTTCAAATACAGGAAAGCACGACGCTCAATAAGATTTGCCAACATTCATTTTAGGAGAATCAATAACATTTTCCAAAATCATAATAACATCCTCTTATCTCGACCAATATCAAATTAAACACTTAATAAAAATATTGTAATTTAGAAAACTTTATGCAAAATATTTGAATTAATTTACTTCTTTGCTTAAGACTATGCCATTCATTCTTCTACGTCTTCAATACGGTAATCGCTCAAAAACCATACCCAAAATATTCATTACTGCTGTAAAGAGGTTTCAAAATTTGGAAGTATCAAACCAAAGGCAAATGACAATGTCAATGTCATAGATGATTTAACTCTTGAATGTTGGTTCTTGGACCGCAATCCAGACTTGCTTTGATCATTACATATATGTATATTCTGTTGAAAATATTTTCCGAATCGCAAGAAAATTTATTCGTTTTATCCCAATTCAGTTCCAACGTTCTAAATAATGATAATTGACGAGCCTACCGATTTGCCATTCTTCATTGAACAGTCGATTCAAAACTTCTATTGTTGCATTGAGTTTAATAATATTCCAACTTTTACGTAGGAATATTAATGTATCAACAACTTAATTCAAGCATACCGCGATTAACAGTTTGAATTCTTGCATCGGGCCACGACAAAAGATACACACTCCGCCGATAGATGGCGCTCGGGTGAACTATTTCGTGTTTATAATATATTTCATCATATTTGCCAATCGACGTTCATTCAGTGATAGAAGCTTGCAAACAGCAAACGTAATTCTTCGTGCTGTGAAGAAAACGTTCTTGAAATCTATTTTCCTCGATTAGAAATTTTGATATTTTCCCTTGAGTGCAGTGCCAAGGAGAGGAGTTCCCGAACTTTTTCGCATTTTATCCTATTGATGTAAGTAGTTTTCACCTTTGTTCTTCATTTTCAGTGATCTTCCACAAAAAGGCTAGTGCAAAAGTGATGAGATAATCCTTATCAAAATACAGTTCATTTCCACAAAATCGATCTTTCAACCAAATGAATTTACGACAAAAAAAGAGATCTTTCGCAGAATTTGTGTTTTTTTTTTTCATACAAAGCAGTAATATGATTGCCTTATTTTTATTCAAAGCACAAGACAGCGGTTGCAATTCCACTAAAATAAACGGTAAGATCTGAATCAAAGCAGTTATAAAGAACACCTCACATGCAGCCAAATTTAACATTCAAGAGAAGCTCCCGTTGAACATAGGACTGCGTGAATCGATTCAACGTACGATTATAATCGAAGCAAGCCGATTGGTGATAAAGTGAATTTTACTATTCTTGCAAAAATGAATGTCATCGATATGAACGTACAGGAAATAGCCGAATCGTATTTATCAAGTTTGCTTGAGTTAACAAGCAATAATAAAGCGTTGATAAATGTGTTAACAATAGTAGCGGACGAGAATATTGATTATGGTCAGACCATAGTTGATACTATTAATCAGCGTATAAATAAGGTTCACCATTTTTTTCTTTTAAAAAGTGTTGTCATTTATAAGATTAATTAACAACAAAACAAAAGAAGACTGAAATGTAATCTATTCATGTATAAGTTTGAACGAGCTGTTTCATGCAATTGCATCGTGTGAATAGCAAATTTTTCTGTGATAACTGTTCTGTGATTGAGAAAGATGCAGAAATGCAATTTCATTAGATTTTAAGCTAAATTTTAAGGATGAAGAAAAATAAGGAGAGAAAATAAATATAAATACGTTTAAAAAAACAAACATTTTTCATTGTTATTTTTTATTATCATTTTGAATATGTAAGTAAACAAATGATTTTGAAATTAATCAAGAAAATGTCATTATTTCAGGTGGATCCAGATTTGAAACTTCCACTTTTGTATTTGATTGATTCGATTCTTAAGAATGTTGGTGACAAATACGTTGAATATTTTATGCAATCAATTGTGAGCACATTTGTTGAAGCCTTTGAAAAGGTACGTACTGCTTAGAATTATTTTTATGTTTAAAACTAAGAATTTAATCAGTATCCGGCGAATTAAGTTCAATATCTTACATATTATTTGGATATCCATTTAAGTTCAAAATGTCAACGTTTGTAATTTAATTTGTCTTATTCATTTCATTTGCGAAATTTTATTTTAGGTGAATGTTGGAATTCGTAAGAAGCTCTTTGCATTACGCGGAACATGGAGTGAGATTTTTCCTCGAGTGATCCTGAGCACACTTGATGCCAAGATGAACGCGATTGATGCCAATTGGTTAATTGCCAAGACGCGTTTCGGTGAAAGAGATGAAGCAAATGAACCAGACGTGAAGAAGATTAAATTGGAAAATGTTGATATGTAAGTATATTTAGTGCTGAAATGCATTCTAAAAAGCTCGATATTCAGAGGTTATTTTCTTTTACAGGTTGTTCAGCAAAGAAGATGTTGACTTGAGAATTTTGCAGCCAAAGAATTTGATGACATCGAACGGAATTTTGAAAGCTGCTTGCAACGATATTGACTCATATGGTAAATCCACTGAAAAGGGGAGAAAATTTGAAGTTTTGAGCGCAAGCAGTTTTGGTGAAGGAATAAAGCAACCGCATCGTGTATCACACACAGTTCATCGTCAAAAATATGTTGGAGCTCAACAAATGAAACATTTATCAGCAATTAAGAACTGCAACTGGTACCCACAAACGCACCCAAAAGATGGTTTGTGTGAAACATTAAAAAGAGGGAGTCGTCTAAGGAATATCAAACGGATTTATCCATGGAAGAAACAAGTGGAAATGTCAACATATTCATCGGTGCCATTTAAATCAGATCAACGGCCAATGAACAGAGTCAATAAATTTATCAATAACCAAAATGACCGTCAGTTTCCATTTGTAAATCAATCATTCAACAGAAATCACATTCAAAACTCACCCGATATTGCAAGTCAATACATGTCAACTGTCCCAGATTTCAACACTTCGATTTTTTCGAATAAAAAATTAACTCAAGTTGCTAACCATAATAAAGTAAATGTGATCCCCGAAGTATCAAATAAACCAGTTGAAATAAATTTTCAAAGTCTTTTTCAAAAATTGCTACAATTCGGAATGATAAATCATGTCGAAGAAAAGCCAGCACTGAATAAGCCAGAAACATTGAAGAAGAAGAATCCATCCGCTGTAAAGGCACTTTATACTGGATGGCAATGTAGCTCTTGCGGTATTCGATTTCCAACTGAACAAACTACCGAGCAGCGAGATCATTTAGATTGGCACTATCAACAGAATCGAAATGAGAAGTGTGATAGGCTCTATATAAAATGCCGAGAATGGTATCACTCAGCGGTTGATTGGGTGCAAATTAAAGAGACTCATTTGGAAGAACAGAATTTAGTTGAAACTAAAGCAAAATCACCACCTACATTGAAGGATGAATCAAAACCGCTGACTCAGAATTGTATTGCAGCGCATGATGAGCATAATGAAGAATGTGATATGTGCCATGATCAATTCGAAATGTTCTACGACGATGAAACCGATGAATGGTATCTGCGGAATGCCATCAGGAAAGGAGAAAATGTTTATCATCCGATTTGTTATGAAGATCAATAGGTAAGACAATCTATACTACTACGATATTTAGTGCAATGATCTCATTGAGATTTTTATTCAATAATATTAATTTAATTTTTATTTTGAAACTTTTTCTTAAAAAACAGGAGCCACTTGCACCAAAAGGAATCTCAGTAAATATCACATATTCATGTTTATCACACGGGAGGGCACAAGCAGCAACTAGTAATTAGCAATGGATCTGGAACGTCAAACATAAATTCGATTGTTAGTTGAAAATTCGCCATAGTCTTTGGCATTTAGAAAAATCAGAATAATACCATTGATATACCACCAAAAACATTAATTCATTACATTAGAATAGGAAGGACAGAATTTAAAAACATAAAATGAGAAAAAATATCCAAACAAAAAAGACTTTGATTTAATATTTCAATGTGTAGACCAAAATGAATTTGTTCAATAAAAACCGCAAAAATAGAAATTAACCAAAGAAAATAGAAGTTTTTTCATTTAAAAAAAACATGTCTATTGTATCTCTAAATCAATGGAATTCGATAAGCCATTTCGTACATCTTGTTATTATTTAACAATCAAAATATTATTTGGAATATGGAATAAAGGTGGTTAATTTGATAAATGAGAAATAAACCAAAATAAATAATTTTTCTCAAAAATATATTCTGTACAACAGAGAAAGAACAAGAAATATTTCAGCATATTCAAATAATTTATCGTGGCAAATACTTGTGGTATAAACACATACAACGCTTATACTGAGGATACAAGCGAGAATGAGGCTCAACTATAAAAATGTTGAATGTGGTAAGTTCCACAGCGATAGTATTCACATATCGGAACGTATAGAGAGACAGAGAGACACAATGGTACAGTGATATATACAATGCAAATACATCTACATATATGGAAAATAGCTTCTGTTCGTTCTTATATCCAACAAAATAGAAACGAACAGAGTGAAAGAGAAGTTTGCCGATATAGTGCGGCTAGTATTTATGTTTCTTCAAGAGAGAACGAGACAGCAAGAGAACCATTCGCGCTGTACGAAGTGGACAAAATCGCGTATTTAGACACTTGCAGCATACACGCATATGTATGTGTATAATTGCAAGTATCATATCTTTATTCTTTATTATTTTATTTGTAGTATTGTTTCCATAGTAGGACAATGTGAAGGCGAAGAAATTAGCGAATCGCACGTGTCCATCACTCGTATAAGTAAAGTCATTCTGTTTGGGACCATTTCTTACGTTCATCCGCATAATTTTACCTTTTTTTACACTGCACCGTTATTCCACGGCATTTTCCATCAAACGCGGTTCTTTTATTTCTAAAATTTTCCGAGGCGAGGCTTTTCAAATTGAAAAATAGACGAAAAAGTACAAAGCAATGAGAAAAGTGTTGTGTTTTTTTTTAACAATTTGGGCAATAATGAGTATTCAAGAAGCGTTATTCAAGAAAATGGTGTCTCCCAACCGATGAAGAGTAAATTATACATAGATTGGAGGCGAATAAATTTGAACATTTTTTTGTTTTTGTATTCTGTAAAAGTCGGCAATTTACTCAACATTTGAAGCGAAAATGAAAAAAAAAAACATTTTGTCATTCGTATTTGTGTGACATTTCAAGTTTCGTATTCGTCATAATGTAATTGTTGTTGAAGGGGGTGATTTTATGTGTGAAAGCAACTATTCTTGTTAAATCACGCTGATATGAAATCACGGACTGTTTGCATATCATCATTAATTTTTTTTTACATCTTTAAGCTGGAAAATTGTTTATCCATTATGTGAATTCATTATATTAAGATTGGTGATACGAATGAAGTTGCTTTTGAAATTAAATGAACATTATCATGGACCATCATCGAATAGGACAATGGTACGGTCTTGCAAATTGCATGACGTAAGAGTAATATGTGATTGCACACTGCGAAATCGCGCCGAAACACGCTATTCGCATTTATATCCAGCAAAATGGCAACAAATGCCACAGTGAAAAATGATGCACTGAGACAAGATTGTCATTATAGAGAAAGTGTTAGCTTTTTGTGAGTTAGGGAGAAAGAGAGAGAAAACCATTCGTTTTGAATTGAATGAAAAAAAGTTCTTTGTCACACACATATGCGCATATGTATGATACATATCATCGACAATATTACACATACACAGTGGAAAAAAAACCACATACTCATACATTCAAGGAACGCGATTTACGAATCGCATTTATCCCACTGAAAACTCCACAAATACACTCTTTTTTTTTGATAATAAATGAAAAATTAGAAAAAAATTCCGAATCAACAACGAGATGAGATTTTTCGTTAGAAAAAATTTGGTAGAAAAAGTAGTGAAAAGTTGTGTGTGTTTTTTATTTTGAAAATGAAAAGCATTCCACCATTCGTATGTGTGTGTTTCAAGTTTCATATCCTTCGCCATACAAATGTCATGATAGGGGTGATTGTTCAATGTTCATACATCATATTAATCATTCGTATGAAATCAACTTATCCGATTTGCACTGGCTGAATATCACCATTGATCAATTGTACCGTTTTCAAATTGAGAAATTGTCAAAATAGTGATTCCCAAATATTTTCTCTACACTATAAAAACTTCAATTATTTGTGCAGATTCCTTTTATCAAGAAAATTATGAGAGTGGAATTGTTCTTTCGCACCAAAGATCCTCATTCGTATTTATACTCAGCGTGTTAACATCAAATGCCGCTGTAAAAAATTGGTACGCTAAGAACACATTCATATCGTAGTGTTAGCTTTTTAAAAGCGAGGATGAGACAAAGCGATTCTGATGAAATGGAGAAATTGCTTCGTCACACACATCATGTGTGACACATGTGTGTATATATTATGCAAATATCATAAAATTCACAAACAATGAAAATAAAATATATTCTCATACATTCGAGAAAAGGAATATACGAATCACAATTGTCACATTGACTAGCATTTGTATGCTATGCATTCTTCTTAGAATTACCTGTTGTTCTCTTCGAACACATACAATTTTTTTGAGATTGATTAGTTTTTATGGACGATCATTGATTCATTAATGCTAACTAAGCTTTTCGATGAAAAATGCATTAATAATTCTGAGTGGATACTCGACCTAAACTTGTTGCGAAAACAATATTTAGTCGGGTAGCAAACAAAGCACATTACTATGATACACTTTTCGATCAGTAAAATCGAAAAATTGGAATTTCCATAGAATTTAAAAAAGAAAGCTTTGCTTTCACTTTTTTGTGTTTAAGATAAAAATAAAAATCTAAAATAAATACAAGGTGAAAAAGAGCAATTGTTGTTGTTACATTTATTGCTTTCTCGAAAATTATCACGAATATGATTAGAAGTTTCTTAAGAATTTCTGTATTATTTTTCCTAAAATTTAGCATCACAAAAATCATAGACAGCCCACAGCCAAAGGTTCATTTTTTTCTCCATACCTGCAAGCGTCCCTAAAAACGAGTATATATTCCGTAGCAGAAAAGCATTCATATTGTTCTAGGTCACGGATTTGGAATTTTATGATTGAACCAAAACTTATGTGCGGTGCCTACCCAAGTAATTTCTTCTACCATTATTCATAATTTTTGATCAGCGTAATTTGTATTTTTTTCATGGATGGAATCATTTCTCATTCACAGACATTCCATCTTCATAAGCCCCTCGAAAATCATCTAAGCATTATGGCCGTAGGTTTTAAACTAATTAACGATCCACCAAAAAATAAGGCTGATGAGGAAAAGATGATGGCAGCATTCAAAGATATTTTGGTTTCTCCTTTGAACTTCGATGAATTGTCGTATGATTGCTTATTCGAAATCTTTGAATATTTAGATTTAGAATTTCTGCTTGTCATTCGCATGACATCGGTTTATTTGCAAAATGCCGTCAGTGCCTACCTCAACTACAGATTTAAGGATGAAATGGTTTCTGTAAAAGTGAAGAACAACGAAATCCTTTTGGATTGCAATCATGCTATTCAATTTGAAGCTAAAAACCAAATAACCATTTACGGTAACAAGGTCCAGGCATTCCGTTACGTTGCCTTAAACTGTAACATGAATTTAGAGAAGATCGTCTTCAAAGATTTGTTACCTAAAAAGAGTATAAGATCAGAAGAACTCGACCAAATCATGGAAATCCCGCTGAAAAATGCGCGTACTGTTGAATTTTGCGTTAACCAATTCAGGGGGAAAATTTATGATGATTTTTTAAAGAAATGTCCAAACATTCGCAAGCTGTTGATCATATCTAATACGAAAAAGCTTGAGAGTTTAATAAAACGTGAATACGAAAATAAGTGGTACTACATGATGTACCCAAAACTCGAAACTATCCAATGGGATGCTGGATATGTCAACAATCCAGTCGAGTTCGAATATTTGTTACGGCACAATCCAAAAATTAAAAACTTAAAAATTTCGCGAAATATTTTTGAAGCCATCGATTTTATTGGCAAGAGTCGCTCAAACTTCAATAAGCTCAGCATTGAATTAAACGCCAAGAATGAGCCAGAAACCCCGGATATTTGTACAAAGCTTATTGTTTTGTATCATAATGGGCATTACAAGAGACTGTATCTAACATTTGGTGGCCATCAAATCCTCAACAATTATATCGATGACATAGCATCACTTCAAATGCTTCAAAGCATTAGCTTGAACGGCGAATACATATCTTCGATCGGAAAATTGGTCAACCTAAAGGAATTGCACATCAATTCTTTGGAAGATGGAACAGAAGTTGTACAACAACATCCTTTGTTGGAAAAATTGTTCATTCAGAAGGGTTGTCTTCAAGTTATCATCCCATTCATTTGTAAATCCGTCAAATTGACCCAAATCGTTATTGAAAAGGTGGAAAATCAACCTTTAATCAACCTTGATATACTGAATAAGGAGCGTAATGGTTTGGAAGAAGCGGAGCCGGTGAAAATTTGCTTAGAGGAACGGGCTTACCTCAAACTGTTTTGGACAATGAAAAGAGACTCGGATACTCCGAAATTAATTGAAGTTCGTCGTGCCAACTCATACCAATGGGATGATTAAAGTTCAAAACATTTGTGATTTGTTTATTTCCATCCCGATCTCCGTTTAATAAACTCATGTTTTCATAACGCTGCCATCGAGTAGATGTTTACACTGAAGAAAATGAATGAACCATTCAACAACATCGAAGAGTCAACTTCAATAGAAATACAAATAATTACAATTCGAATGGAATGGCTTTAAAGTGAAACGACATCGATATCAACTACATGTCCAGTTACAAACGAGACGTGGACAGTACACTTTTTGTTAGAAATAAACATTGCAAATTTCCGGGCAATATTACCAAAACAATGATATTCACAGCTACCTGTAAACAAACGTTCAAATCCACAAAGAATCTTTCAATAGCAATGCAATGGAAACAGTTAAGACTAGAATAGATAATAAATCTTTTAATTTGTCTCATCAATTCCATTATTTATTACAAACTTTAGCATCACCAATATATTTCCATTAAGTGCCACAAATGTAATGTTGTAATGTAACATTTTTTATATACTTTTTGTAACTGGATTTATGTCGAAATATCAAAAATGTTGAATAAAGTCGATTTCATAAAATTGTGGCTCGTTTCCGTTTCGAATTTTTTTGGATTTTTTGCAGCAATTTTAGATTTGAATGAAAACAATAATTTCAGCGTTTTTTAAAGAATATTCTTTATTGAATTTACCAAATTTGAAGTCAATTACATGTACCTCGTCCAATACGCTAATTTATGTTTAGCTCAATGCATGTATTGGTCATCAATATGTAGCCGGTTACATCTATATAAAAAAGAATCGGTGATTTGCCAATTCACCAATACAAAACAAAACACACCAATAAATATATTTACTGCACACGTATGCGTTTGACATACGGCCAAGACCGGTTGAAACTTTCAAAGTCTAAAAAAGAAGAGCAAAGAAAGCAGCGAATGTGAGATGGCTGAGGATATATACCGAGCATAGAAACTAAGTAAGCTGTGAATTATGCCTTATGATCCAAAGAATTTTTTCATGGAAATATTTGCCACAAATTAAAGAAGATGATAAATTGGTTTGAATCAAAACCAAAACGTATCAGCTTACTGAATTTCAATCCTTGGCATATATTCTCAGCTAGCTCGCATTCACCGAAAGAAAGTAGTGTGTGCAATGTTCATGTGCACCGTGCATGCGCGTAACGAATACACAGACAATATATACTTATACATGCGCAGTATCCGCGAGTATGATTCATTCTTCAGTGCAAATATCAGAAGCGTATCAATTGAATGGGAGTGCCAAGATAGTCAGGAGCTGGATACTGTGCATTTGATAAAAATTCATAAAAATCATTGATTTAAGTCTCTTGATTTTCTATAATATTTGGAAATTTGTCGGCATTTATAATATACATTCAAATATGGCTAAGGACGAGGGAGCTATACTTGTCGGTTCGTTAATTGCCGCTGGAAGTGCTTGTTTCATTATTTACGGTGTTTTTAAAGCAATAAAGGCAGTAATTTCTGTGCTATGTCCAGAACTTGTACCTTCTGTTCTGCCACCATTTAGAGGCACAGTACAATATGCAAATATTCGAGTGATCGACTGCAATACAGCATCCAGCCGAAGAATCATCAAAGAATTAAAATCGTATGTTCTTTATATCCGTTGATACACTATGTGCTATAAAAATTCATTCAATATCGATAGGCATTGCGATGAGTTTCCAGTGATGGGTTTTGACTGTGAATGGGAAAATATTATGTACGAACGTGGACGAGTAGCTCTATTACAGTTACAATCTTATCGGGGACTTTGTGTTCTCATTCGTTTACGGCGTATAGGAACGATTCCTTCAGAGCTGAAAGTGAGTTGAAATTGCTGAGAGAATGTGCGCATTTCTATTGAACATTTTTATATTTTCACAGGAAATATTGGAAAATGATAAAATAATCAAAGTAGGAGTAGCTCCTGACACTGATGCCAGATATTTGTATGAAGATTACGGTTTCAATGTTAGAAGTACATATGATCTCCGTTATATGGCAGCATCAGCTGGTCGTCGACCTGGAACATTAGCCAATATGTCTGAAGCTTATTTGTTTCTCAAACTCCAAAAAGGAAGTGACAAAGCATTACATTTCGATTGGAATGCACCATATTTGAGTGAGAAACAAATCGAATATGCGGCAAAAGATGCACACGCTGGCATTGAGCTTTTCAAGTTCTTTGCCAAAAAATTAGAACGTGTGGACTCGTTCTGGAGTGAACAGGGTCATGTGAAAGGCGTCATCACTAAACGTTGTTCAAAGTTCTTAAATAAGTATTACAATGGTGCTCAAGGAATTCCTGACGAAATAAATTGGTAATGAATGTCGCACTATTAGTTGGAACATGCCGCTGGAAATGGGTTTAATTCATCTAAATATTAAATAAAGATCAGGATCATACAAACACACTGTTTCCAAATTTATCTCTAGCTTGTAGTTTTAAATCGAGCATATATTCGACGTTTAATGGGAAAATAAACTTTATTGTCCCCAGAGAAATGCTACATTTTCACTTATTCTAATTTACTAGTAGAAAAGGCACACTACTCTTGTTTATTTTCGAATATAACGAAATCTAAAAACAAAAACAGCAAATGTGGTTATTATTGAGTTTCATTGAATGACTTTTAACATCGAATCTGCATGATCTCTGCGATATTTTTCTTTTGATTCATAATTTCAATTTATAGGCCGAAAAGCATTCTTCGGAATATGGTTGTGTACACCATTTGATTCTAAAAGCGTATGGTACGAGTGCACCCAACATTGCACCTGGAACGCCGAACAAATAAATGCCCAATCCTGATGCTCCCAGAGATTGAAGTGTGACAAACAGAGTACCAGCTGCAGCATTCCCAATACCAGCATGCCATGCTGCGGCGAACGTTCCGGCTATTATTCCATCAGCACTAAAACCAATCCGTGCAAGTGACTTTGACCCCAAAGAAAAATTTTTGACCCCACATAAACACAGCCAAATTTAATTCCGCTCAGTTTCAACACATTCAAACTACTCCATATCGGTCGTTTACAAATGAAGCATCGATCCCACATTGCTCGCAAATTTCCTATGAAAAAATGTTCGATGTGCAATTGAATTGTTCGATTACTTTTGATCTTCAGAATAGCTACCTTTTTCGTGAAACGCCATGGAATAATTGTTTGCCACAAATTATGTAATAATTAAACGATTAATCTGGATTAATAGCTCTTTTTATGTATTTACTTACGTTCCGATTGAATAAACCGATCAAAATAAACTTGATACTGTCAACTCGGAGGAGTCTGTGCGCAGTACGCATGTGTCGCTTGACATTCATCATTTGACATTTTGGTGTATATATTAGATTGTTCCATCTGTCTGCTAGGGGCTTCACGCGATTTTGCAGAACGCAAATAACTCTGAAAAAATAAAAATAATAGTGAATCAAACCTTCAACCGAAAATTTGAACCACTTTTGAAGGTTTTTGGTGGATAACGATGAATATTGGAACATTTTTTGACGACACAATCTGCACAAATTTACTGGTATGCACGTCAATCTCAAATATCTATGTATATTTAATAATATTCATTAGACTGTAATGTCAAAAAATGTTCCAATATTCACCGTTATCTAACAAAATCAATCAAATTTACGGTAGAAGGATTGATTCACTATTATTTTTATTTTTCATACGTATAAACGTAAATTTGGCATATCTTTGTATATTCAGTAATATTCATTTGTCGTTCACGATGAATATTGTTGAATATACATGGATATTTCGGATTTACATGCATACCATTGAATTTCTAAGTTATTACTTGATGCGTGCGGATATAAAAGATGAAAAAAATGATTTTTCCCCCTAGTGTGCGGCGCACACAGCGCTTGTATTTTTGGTGTGCGTGCACATTTACATAGATTTCGGTTCTACTGTCAAATTTTGGCGGAATCTATGTAACTGTGCACGCACACCAAAAATACAAGCGCTGTGTGCGCCGCACATCTACTGTGTGTGCGTTCTTAGTTACGTGCGCGCACACACAGAGTGTTTTTTCCAGCTCTGTCCATATGGTTAGTTTAATTATGAAAATATCATGTATTTTCTCTTTTTTCTTCAATTCCAAAACACATAAAAACCAAAATGGCCGACCAATTTTTCTCAATGAGTCAGCCATATCTTTACAAAGAGAGCTAGTTTATAGTTCAAAATTTATTTCTAACTAATAAAAATCAATTTAATTTAATTTACCTTCAAAACAGGGCTCAACATGCAACGAGGATAATAGTAATCAACATCATTGCCACGACCGATTTTCAAAATCTCGTATTGCAAAGATTAGATAGCGTTGTTTCATTATTATTCAGAGATTGCATATTTACTGCTGAGTAGGCCTGAGCTGAGCTGAATTTGCTAACTCAGGCGCCTGAAGCGGTATTTTAGCTTACTTATGGTGCAAAATTGTCGTGACACGCTGGGATTTACCCAAATATGATTAGAAAAAAAAAAATCAGTGGGATTTCCAGCGTGCCATGACAATTGAACTCCTAAGAATATTCGTTGGACTTTATTACGTCTTTCGGAAATACGGTTCTTGAAAAATTTGGTACGCAAAAGCGGGACATCAACATATTTTTTGGGGTTTTTAAGCCGTGATTACAACAACACTTGTCCCGTTTTTTCGTACAACTTTTTCCAAGTTCCACATTTAACTACGCATCGAAAAAAGTCCAACGAATATTCTCAGCCGTTCAATTTTGCACCGTAAGTGCAAATTCAGCTCAGCTCAGGCCTACTCAGCAGCAAATATGCAATCTCTGTTATTATTTGAAATTTCTCAAGCCGTTTCGGAATTCAGTGGTGAAAAATTGATTTCGTCAAATGTGAACGTTGAGTTTGAAATTGCTTTGGTTGTTTTGACGCGTTCGACCAACGCACACATACACAAACACGATTCAATTCAACCAACGAGAGTATAGGAGACGACGATCGCACCGATTCAGGTCAACGTATGACAAACGCTGTATTTCTACACACATTGGCCGAGTTGTCAAATCAAACCAAAACAAACTAAGCGGTACACATTGTTTGTCCATAATTTTTGATTCCACGAAATTTTTCATAACTCCTTGTAGTACCTTCATGCTGTCGTTGCGACTCTGAGGATTGCCTTATTTTTCATTCCAACCGCATCATATCATTCACTCAGACTCAATTTACTATTGCTTATAGAACGCGCTCGTGCTAAATACTCATTATGTCAATTCAACATACAGAGTACTCGTCTCTGTGTACTACCAATACGTAGCTAACATCCACAGTGCGGCGCACACAGCTCGTATATTTAGCTCCGATATCTATGTAAATGTACACGCACACAAAAAATGCAAAAGCCGTGTGCGCCGCGTATTTACTGTGAGCTACATCCATACATACACAGTGTGTTTTTTTCAGCTCTGCTGCCTTGGTAACACCATACAACGTGAAACATTCATTTGTTCTAACTTGGTAATTCCCATACAGAGACAGACACGGTGTATGCTGAAACGTTATGATTAGTTTTAAGTACGCCATTTTCTTTTGACATTCTTTACTGTGTGCGTCTCTTTTGAGAAAAATTGATTCATTTTTGGTGAAAAGTGAAAGATTGGTGATGATTTAAAATGATCTTTTGCATATTTATATTTTGATTTTTCTTTTGTGTGTAAATAAATTTTTTTGGACTATTTGATCGCGATAAAATAAAATTAAAAGTGAAAAATGATAAGATTTGGGCCGCAGCTTGTATTGCATCACGCTTGACTGAACACTCTTTTTTTTATTCTGTTGTTGTTTATTTCGTCATGATACTACCATCATTTTTTCAACTTCACGTTTTGGTTTTTTCACCTTTTTTTAAGAACAGAATTCGGTCTTTTTCTGCGCAGAGCGTTCATCTCTTGCGCTTTGTTCTTTATGCACTTATTCAAATCAAATGATAAACAGTTTCATCGATTAATGTTTCATTTGAACCCAGTTGTTGGCATGTTTTTTGTATTACACCAACGAGTTTTTTTACGTGTAATGTTCGACCAATTTATTTATTAATATTCTTTTTTTTTCCACCGCGATAGTCTCGATCATTAAACTTCAAACCAACAACGCCACAAATTTTGACGGGAACTAAATTGATGAGTGTATTCAATGCAGTGTCAAACATAGTCGTCATTGTGTTGTGTGGTGAAATAATAATTATTATTTGAATTTTTTAATAAATAAAAATGTTTCGATTCTGTCAAATGAAATTGTGCAAATATGCCGCTGGCACACAAGGCAAAAAATTGCTTTATTTCGGTAGATTAAACCCGTATCTAAAAAAAATTGTTTATCTTCCATTTTCAATTGAGTTGTAAGAGAGAAAATTACGGTTTTATATGATATATTGGAGTTTCCATAATTAAAAAAAGCCCAAAATGTTAGATTCAAAATAGGAACTGGTTCGTGGCAGAATTTGTTCTTAATTCTGCGGACCATACTGAGGAAACGCTTGCGTTCGAACAGAAAACTACACTGAAACAGAAGTCGATTTGACATTAGCTGTCAAACCGGCAAGATGAACAAGTGCGTTTGTTAAGTGAGCGCGTTCCCTCCGTGTCAGCAGGTTTTGGACGAATTTCATTTTGCGAATGATGTTGTTGTTAGTGTAATGATACCCCCGCGTTTTTTTCACAGTATGTCTGGTCGTGGAAGAGGCAGTAGAGGAGCTAGAGGTGGACGTGCAACTACCGGTAGTGTTCCTGGTGCAAAAGTCGGGGGAACGGAAATTTTTATTTCTTGTGAATTTTGTATACATGTTGATGATCATATTGTTGCTATCCCGGAAATTATTTTCTGTACACACAAAAAATGTAAGCATTCAGCAACGGCAGCCGTTATCATTGTGAAATCAGATTGTTTTGATGCAACCGAAATAAACATGAACACATACATAGCTTACGAAAAAAGATAATTGCTTTGTAGTTAGTTCGGTTTTTTGGATATTTTCGCATTGCATTGATTACAATACGACACTTGTCTTTTCAAAACCATACAATTTGCGAGGAACAAAATCAACTCAAAAATATATTAAAATGTCATTAAAAAGTACAAAAAATGAATCCATTCAAGAACATTGATATTGAAAATATTGATATTTCAGGCAATTTATCGAATTTGCATAATGTAATATGTATCAACTTTTTTTTAAATTTCCACATTTTTTCTTTTTTATTTTATTACAGATGAAGACAGATATGGCGGGGAAAAGCAAGTGATAAACGGAGTAGATGTGTACATATAGAGAACGAGAGAAAAATATCACCACACCACAATGGAACCGTAAGTTATATTAATTCATATTTTAATACATTCGCATAAAAAAAAACTCAAAAAATTGAGAGTTTTTATGTATCAAATAACCTTGTAACACATAGAAATATTTTTTAGATCATAATTTGCGCAATTTCTCTCTTTATTTTATCAATGTAGTTTACCGATTGTGATTAAATACGAAAATGCTAATAACGTAACACAACCGCCACCCTTTTCAACAGATACACAAGAACAAACATTTATAAACGTGTTGAAAAGGATCGAAGAATCGTCGATAGCAGATGTGGGCATTTTGGTAGAAACTTGGCTTAAGAATTTAGATAGAAGTAGTTTCACAAAAGAACACTTGAATAAGTATAAAATGGTATCTTTAGGGTTAAAATCGACAAATCCGAAAATATTTAATTTTGGTGGTGTTGCTATATACTACAATACAGCTACTGTAGATGTGACAGACATAGAAGTCAACTATGATATTGAACAAGTTTTTTGCAAGATTCGGTTAAAAAATAATCCCAAAAATGTCATAAATCTTTGCGCATTTTATATTCGCCAAGATGCACAAGTTGGAAAAAACCAACTGCTCAAATCAGCAGAGGTCGTGTGAGAGCCAAAAGAGTGTGAGATTTTCCTGTTCCTGGTTGAGATTGCACCAAAGTAAGACTCTTGGAATTGTTTAAAACGTAATGCGTAAATGTGCTTTGATAAATGTCCAGTATCACACATAAACTTTTCAAACTTAAACTGTCAGTTCGCAGTTTTGCGACTTCGGTCATATATTCGTTGATGCGAGTATAGTGTGAGTACGGCTTACCAGTTAATAAGGCGCGAACTAAGACGACAATTCACTTCGCAAGAATTCGACCGCTTCGCACACACTGTTACTGGTAAACCGTATACACAAGCCACAGTTTGTTTTGATTCGCATGAACGAATATATGACCGAAGTAGCAAATGGTGAAATGTTTTGTATACCAGCCGATCACCTGGTGACGTGCGTCGCTGAGAAGTTTTATTGAATTTGTTGTAAAATTGAACGAACTTTATTCCGAGGAATTAGAACTTTTCAAGGAAGGAGGAGGAGCGTTGAAAAGAATAAGAAAAGCATTGTTTAAGAGCGCAGAAACGCTGAATTGAAACGAAATGTTTTTTTTTATTTTCTTCTTCTTTTTTTGAGCACTTGGACTTAGCGGGACTTAGACCATTTATGCATCATATCGATACATATGATTTAGAACAATAATAACATTAACGTTTTATTTTGCATTTACGTATGTATTTTGACCAATTGTGGCTAGCCGTTTGAAACAAATATTCATAAAATCAGAAACAATCAGAATTGTTCATGTGGTAATTATTTATTCCATGTTCCACGATGTTCCATGGAAAAAAATTAGAGAAGAATGATTTGCTGAAGAATAGACCGGAATAAACGGAAACCAAACACTGCACAGTTGAGTCTGGTTGAATCAATTTGGCTCTCTATTGATGTTTACTGGACTAGAGTGTTTTCGGAATCGGTTAATCAAAAAATGATATGCCTCATTCGATAGATCTCAGAATTCTGAGTCGATTGATAATATTTTTGTCGCGGATGGACTTGTGATGACACTTCCCGAAGCTGAAAACAAAAACAGTTTGTATTTCCATAGTAACCTGTGACAACCAGATTTGATTTGAAATTTGAAAGCAAAAATTTGACAAGAAAACATAAAATTGAATCTAGTTGTCACACGTTACTATAGAAATTCAGAATAGAACATTTTTTGTTTTTTGTTGCGGGAAGTGTCACCACAAGTCCATCCGCGACAAAAATGTTATCAATCGACTCAGAATTCTGAGATCTATCGAATGAGACTTACCATTTTTCGATTGAACGATGCCGAAAACACCCAACGTGGACATAATCGGACATAATATTATTTAGAGTGGAAGGAAAGAATTATTCTAATCATTAATTTCTTTTAAATTGAAAATAATTGAAATATATTATTTTTTTTAATTTGTATGATTTGAATCAGAATACTCAAATCAAAAATTATTATACTTTGAATGTATTCATTTCACACAGATAGCTGGCTAACGATTGGCTTACACCAGTTGTTGGTGTAAGCCAACCCAATGAACACATGTAATGCTAAATGTTTGAATTTTGTGCATATTTTAATGTAATGCTAAATGTAGCACTAAAAGTGCAAAAATTGTGAAATTTTTGGACCTATTTAGATAAAATTTTGTTTCTGGGCACAATATGTGTAAGAATTGTGCACGATTTGGGAATAAATCTACTATGCACAATAATTGCACGTGTTTGGCTCATTGGGAAGGCAAAGACAATGCTGGCTAACGAAAAATCATCACTGCTGTACAGTGACACAACAAAAACTTGTATCACACTCGGACGAGAAGGTGAAAGAACAATCTGACGATATTAACAAAATTCATCTGAAAATTATTGAAATGTATGTAATCCACCCCAAACACGTTTTGAAACCAATGTATGCCGTACACGTATATCACTAGCGCAAAGTCTAATCTGTTCTGTATTTCTGTCTTTCTGCTGTGTGCTTTCATACAGTGTACTATTAGCATGTGTTTTTAATCACTCATTTTGGAATATCAATGTGTGAACAATTCAACTCTCGGTGAAACATGAGTTCATTTTGTTTTGATGTTTCAAGTGCTTTGGTTCTTCTCAAGTGTTTCAGTTGTAGCATAGACGCGCAATTGCAATGGCGTTTGAGAGCTTCAAAGCAGTGTGCACTTTAAATGCGTGTCGGTGAATAAGAATGGAAAATTTGATAAAGTTTTTTATTTTGAAATTGAATTTTTTATAAAATGTTTTCACTAACCAAGCTCAAGCCACACAAACTTTAGTGTTTCAAATGGAGCAACCTACAAAGTTTTGGTTTTGTTTATTTGTTCATGGCTTGAACGTTCACCTAAATGGCGTTTTTATCAGTACAGTTTCTTTTTTGTGGAATTAACTTTTAGTGAACTGATTTAAATGTAAAATTCGAATGAGTGAAATGACAATTCAGCACAATTCATGAAAAGATACCACTCACAATATGATATATGACTCGTTGATATCGGTGTATCAATTAATAAAGAGAATAATTGGAACGAAAATGACTCGAATGATTTGGTTTTTTGTATTGCCTCAATACGTTCGAATTGCCGTTTGTTCAACTACACCACTAAAACGAGAAACGTCACTCATTCTTTTTTCTTTATTAAAGAAAAAGAATTTTGGCAGTGCGGGACTCGAACACCGCAT